GGTCATGTAATTCGATACACGTAAAATAAAACCGATCAGTAATCTACACTTGAACTTTGCGTAAAAGTTACGGGTATTTCTAAGGGTTAAATTCGAGCAGTAATAGGAGTAATAGGATGAAACAGTAACATATTGTTTAATAAAGCAAATAAAAATACTTCTAATAAAATAGAGGATTCTCTGTGTTATTAGTATCATTTAATTATCTTTTTAGAATTTTCTTCTATAAAAGGATTCTTTATTTTTTTAATTTATTTTCACATATAGTATTTCATCCAAAACAATTATAGTTTAACAATTATAGTTTTCATGCGAGGTCAAAATTCGAGCCAATTCAAACTATATCAAGGAAAAACACAATAGAACGTCAAAAAATCTAATATTGGATTAAGTAGTTAATTTTCTAAACACAAATTAAAAAAAATGAAAAATACAAAACAAAACGAGCTAAACCTAGAGATATATATGCACCAAAAAGTTTAAAATCACATCGGTTGAACAGACAGATTCAATTTAAATAAGTGAACCATAAAAACATATAATTTGACCATGTTCGACTGGAAAAATTAAATCAAATAATGATTGTGAAAGTACTGAAATGTGTGGTGAATTTAGTAGACAAACAGCATTAACAATTATCCGTTCATCTGTGGATCCACCATGGCAGTTGTCTGGCTGCCTGCTGACTCATCAGCTCTCACTTTACGCACCATAGTTCAAAGGCCGCTCCATGTAAACAGAGAGGCCTACGATATAAAGTGCATCTCAAACAGACTATAATTTATCAATTAAGACATTTACGCAAACACATTCAATACAATTCAAAGAGGAGCAAATGGAACCAACGAATAATATAGAATATGAACACATTCAGAACAATTCAAAGCAGAGCAAATGAAACCAACGAATGAATAATATAGAATATGTTAATCAGCATATTTCAGAAACGAATAATGGATCCAAAGTGAAAGATTGCACAAAATTGTGAAATGGGAGGGAGAATAGCGAAAATACTCTGTGCAGAGCGATTACGAATACAATTGCAGCCGCTAGTGTTAGGATTGGGGTACAGATTTTAGAATATATATAGCGAGTGGAACCGCACCTAGGGTTTCACTTTGTTTTTTTTTTTTTAACAAACCCTAGTTATCGTTACAATGAAATACTACAATTATTTAATTTGATATTATAAAATATGTTCTCGTTTTTTAGTTTTTTAATTTACTTTTACCTTTTCAATTTACTTATAATGATATTATTTTTATTTTCTTGTACTTAAAACATTATAAAGATATTTGTATAATTGAAAAATGAAATTAATAAATTGTTTTAATACAAAATAGTATTTTCTTAATAAAAGGAAAACTAAAAGTAAAATTAAATTTATTTTCACTAGTACTAATTTATATGATTAACACATATTGTTATTTTGATTAGTATAGAATGATTTTGGTGTCTTAATTAAAATTTAAGTATTTAGATTAAATAAACAACTTCAAAAAAAATTGACTTGTTATAATGTAAAGACTAGAGAGGTTGTATGACCAAACTTTGTTTATATATTAAGTATTACCGGTCAATTATGTATAATCTTGAAAAATGTGACATAAATAGAATTATGTATTTAATTAAAAACTGAATAATGGTTATTGTTAAAAAAGTTACAAATATAAACATTTAATATCGAACAAATATTTATTGATGTTAATCTTGTTAGATGGAGAACAAAATAAAATGTGAATTTTCGTCCAAACATAAATACTGATTTTAAAGGTTTGCAAAAATTTTGAATTCATGACTAAAAATTCTTTTTTAATATTTTGGATACTTGTTTACAGCACCTATTAAATTATATGACAATAAAGTTATTTAGGATATTACTAATAATTAATATATCTTAATAAATATTATATAAAATAAAATATTTTTAAAATATTTCATCAAATTGAAATATAAATGACACTTGTGTTAATGTACCAACAATTTTTAATAAATATCGATGTTTTTCTCTTAATAACCTTATGTTATTAAAATATATTAATATAAATAATTTGGTTAATTTTTTTACTTTTAAATATTGCTTGGAATCAAAATTTGTATACTCTCTACATGAATTAAATATTATATTGAGTTGAAAATACTTTTAAAGTTCAATATTTTGGTAAAACGTGAATTTAAGTATTATATTAAGTTATTATTATTTTATTAAAAAAATTAAATAATAAATTTATTTTATTTTTTTATTTTATTAAGTACAATTAAGTCATTATTATACCATTATAAACAAAAATAAAATAAATTATATTAATCTAAAATTTAGATTTTAGATCAACCTTCACTTATAATATATCAATAAAAAGTTTAGGACTTTAAAAACAAAATTTCATAATAATTTGCTAGTTGATATACATGATAATGAAAACTATAAATATCACAGTTTCTTAATAAATTATGAAATAATCTTTTAAATACTTAAATGAGATGTAATCAACATTAATAAATTATGAAATAATCTTTTAAATACCTAAATGAGATGTAATCAACATTAAGAATCAATCTGATTTTAAATTAGGTATTTTTCGCTAGAGTTATCAACAATTAAAATTTGTTGCAACTCATCAATTTTTCTTAACATTAAATCTAGATAATACAAAATTTTTCTTATAAAACTATAATCAATTTATTATTTTATTATGATGTATTTAGTTAAGTTAAAAAATTACCACATATAATGAATAAGTTCTTATTTGAAAAATAAATAAAAATAATAATATTTTAAAAAAAGAAAAGTCAAGACAAAATAAATATTTAAAATATTAGTAATATTTAAAGATTTTTTTCGTTTGTGTTTGATTTGCATTTGCAGTATAAACTTATTTTTATATAAATAGTTAATTTAGTAACTTTTTAGGTCAAATGTGATCTGATTTAAAGTTTTAGTATTGTAATAATTACCAATCTTATTATAATTATTTATATTTGTTATCACAGATAATTTTTCAATCTTACTATAATTATTTATAATTTTTTTTATCATAGATAATTTTTCAATTTGTTTAAAAGGGAACTAGTTTCTCAATTTTGATTATGAATTAACAAAAATAGTTTCATTTTATAATTATCACAATTTTATTTTTTTATTTAGAAATTTCAAAATATTTAAGATATAAATAATTGTTATTACTCGATACTAAATTCAAAAATAAAAACTAAAATAAATTTATAATCCGATAAAAAATTAGTGTATATATAAAATACAAAGTTATGTAAATTAGATTATTAGAAAACTACAGTATAATTATACTAATTCTATTCAACTATTATATAATTTATATCATAATATTTTAAAAATTTAAAAAGAAAGTAAATTTTAATAATTTATAAAATTGGAAAATAAATTTAAAAACAATAAACTGTTTTAGTATAATTTGTGTAAAACAAAAGTAAAATATTATTTTCATAATGAGAAGTGAAACTAAAATTAAAATTTAAAACTATTTTCACTAGTAATAATTCATATGACTGATACATAATACATTGTTATTTAAACCTTCTCAAGTAAATTTCTACCAATCAAATTATCTATTATTCATTTTTTTAAAATTCAATTTAATTGTTTAAATTTCAAATTAGTTGTTTATTTTAAAATAAAATAGTCATTACATTAATTGAAATTAAATCCATTAAAACAAATTAATGGTTAAAAATCACAATAAAAAATTTAAAAATTATATTTTCGTTAATACCTTTCAAATACTAATTAAAGAGTTAAAAAATAAAGAACATGATAACAAAAATATTAGATCTAAATACATAAAAAAATCAAAAGAAATGAACTATGATATAATTTTTTTATAGAAAAGTGAGAATAAATTATTAGTAAGAGGTTTACTTTTTTTAATTGAATAATATAAAATAATAACTCATTTTAATTATTAAAAAAACATAAAATTTAAATTTCTAACTCTGGTTTGTGATAAAAAAACAATTAGTCACTATACAAAATATTTATCATAAAAAAGTGAGTATTATTATTTTAAAGATAATGAAGTGATTCTCATATTTATAAAAAAAATTAAAAATGTTAGTTCTATTATATTTAATATTTTATTTATGATTGATTGGATTTTATTAAAAATCACCCATTTTCCTGTATGGCACTTCTAAGTCTTAAAAATTGAATCCACCAGCAAACATTCCTCTTAATAAGATGCTAAACAATTGTCTCACTCACAACATTAGTCCAACGTTTATCTAAGACATCTATAATTTTTACTATGTATATTAAAACATAAATTACTCCAACGTTTACCATTATACTCAATTTCTTCTCCAAAAACTATACACGACGAAAATATTTCTCAACATTATTTTCTTTCTAAATGTTTTTATTTATTTTTTAATAAATGGTCGGTACCCAGTTTGTATCTACATGACGTGTTGCATTGACATCTAATCCAAAAGTTTCTTTCCTCAGGCTCCATGCCATGCCTTTCTCTAGGGTGTAGTGGATGTGGAGTGGAACATCACACGGTAATAAACCAGACCAAGTCCACAATACTTTTCACAAAATGGGTATATATTATATCTCCGTGTTAAGGTGCCAACATTTTTCCAACCTAACTACACCAGAAGCAACATCCAAGTTCTCACACAAATGTACATGACAACACGAATAATGAATATTTTATCCTTTATAGACCTTGAAAATCTAGAGAAATAAAGAACAAGAAGATAGAATCTTCCCAGTTTACTTTCTCTGAGTAAGCCTCTCACATTTACAAGGCAAAAGAGGAACCAAACCACAACAAAATCCCTAAATTTCTTTACAAGTCATCAACCTCGTTATCTTATTCCCTACTTTAGGATATAGCCCAACTTTTTTTCTTCAAACCTAGTTTCTTATGATGAGGATTTAAATGAAAAGAAAAAAGAAAAAACTCAGGATACATTTTCAAAATGATATGAATATGTGAGTGAGAGTTAACCAAGGAATGTAGTCAAAGCAAAGAGCTGAAACTTTCAATGGGATCAGATTCTTCAAGCATGGAAGCTGCCTGGAAGCAATCAGCAGCATCAACTATTCGGCCATCAGCCTTGTGAGTTAATCCCAAGTTATACCAAGCCATACGGTTGGTGGGTTCTATTCTAAGTGCGTCAGAAAGTAAGCATCTAGCAACAGGCGCAGCAGTATTTAAACCAATTTTCAGTATCAAAGAAGCCATCAAGATCTTGCTTGGCACGTAGTTTGGTTCAAATAGGACCGCATTCAACGTAGCAACGAGAGCTTCTAGATCTTGTCCACGACCTTCGAACACAATACCTGGTACAATCATGTTGGAAAATATGAAATTTCAATTATACAAGTAGAACATGCTAAAGTAGAAATTGTTGACAACATAAACATTTATTCTTGCCTTCAGCGTGTATTGTTGCTGGTGAGTATTCCTGTAACTCTCTGGCCTTTTGCAAACAGATTTCTGCATCCTTCCAGTGAGAAAGGCTCGCATATAAATTTGCCAGACCATGCCAAACTTCAAGTTCGTTTATCTTATAATCCTCCGCCTACAAAGAGTTAATAAAATAAAGTAAGATTAGTTTTGGAAGCATCAATAGTTGAAGAGTCCCATGAAGCGATTAAAATCTCTAGGATAAAAACCCGACTTTCCTCTGTTCTCCATCCTTGTTAAACAATAAACTTGCTTTTATGACTAGTGCTCCTATTTTCTTAGTTTCCATTACCTTAATTTAAGCATTACACGTGTAAATAAGGATAGTGCTTTATGTTTTACCATTACTAAACACTCAATAGAAACTGGAGCTTGACAAAATATTTCCATTTTTTAGGAACATTGCGGCAAAACTATGACATGACACGTTATGATGGATGACAATACTCCTGTTCAACTCAAAGAGACAAAGAAAGGGAGAGGAGGAATGGATGGAGTTGATTAAATGTGTTTTACGTGTTTTATGCAACAGATCTATATATAGACTTCCAGTAGATCAAGTAGGGACAATTTACGTGTGTTATGCAAAGAGTAAATGGGAGCTACTTCATGAATACTGTTATCTACAAAAACTAAATGCATTTAGCATGTGATAACTCATTAAACCTGTAAACAAGAATTGCACATTATTCTAACAAAAGAGCATTGGATTAACAGCAATATTAGAGGAAATCCAATTCCCTCATCATACGTTATCCAGACTCAACGTTAAGATGAAGCCAAACTCAACACCAGAGGATGTAATTGAAATAGTTTAATGATATCGTTGTTAAAATCTACCACACTCACATCAAAGTTACATCTCATCACCATTGTTGTTTGATAAAACATATCACAACATAATTACATTTGAAGATAATATTTATTAGAAGAAGAGAAGATTGCATAATCATACCAGAGGCCCGGATGATTTCTTCTGGGCCTGAACCAACGCAAGAAGGTACCGATAAGTTTCAATAGCATCCATGGGCCGTAATTGGGAGATCTTTAACTTGGCTTTCAGCCTGAGAAGGGGCCCCTGCTCCCATTTTGCAGTCTCGTCTAAAGCTGCATCAATAACCACTTCGGCCTCTGGAAATCTTTTTTGTGCAGACAAAACAAGAGCAATCAATCTCCAACCATTCAATTTAGAGCCACCAGTTTTGTCAAAGAACTGCTTGGCACAGGATAAAGCAGCAGTTAAATTTCGGTGCATAGCATATTGAATGGCCAATTCAAAAAATAGATCGGCATTGTTTTGCTCCAATCTAACTGCCTCCTCCAATGATTGCAGAGCTCTGGATTGAAGCTTAGACCTCTCAAAGTCAGAAGAAGAAACCTTAGCTTGTTTTCCTAGGCAAAGTCCCAGCATCCTAAGACCCACACCCTTCAAATGCTCATCTAATCCCTGAGCATTATTGATTACTCTTTGTGCATAACCTGCTCCCTCAGCACCAAGATGAGGATCCTCGCTACAAATTTTGGTAGCCAATAATAATGATATAAGGTCATTTGGTCGTTCATGTTTATGCAAAGACATCCTAAGCAGACTCAACGCACTCTTATTTTCTCCAGATCCAATATTACACAAAGCTAAAAAATTCCAACGATCAATACGGTGATATACACCAGGTGTCAACTCTTCAAATTGCTTTGCTAAAATAGAAGTTTGTCCACATGCTGAAAGTGTGAAAATCAGGTGTTCCATAACTAAAGGATCCCACTTTATCTTACCAAGGATGAAGTTTCTCAAAATAATCATAAGAAGAAGAATTCCCTCTTCCAGATTGTTTTTGGGTACGTAAGACCCATCAGTCTTATTAGGTGGACTTGTCTCCATTTCACTGTACAGCAAAAACACAGCCAATGCCTTCTGAATTCTTGCAATAAAATCATCATCAAGATTCCATTGACTAAGGAGGGCACTCCTATAAGCAGACAAAGCCTCATTATAGCAACCAGACTGTTTCCAAAGCTCTGGAAGGAGCTCCACTGCATGACTGATTATCTCCTGCAATTTATTGTCCACTGTATCAGGTGTACCCTGGCTAAATGCCTTCTCAACAGCATCAACAACACCCTTGCATTCATTAACAGCTTCTGTATAAATTCATGAAACAAGCTTTTCAATGTATTAATATCTCTCAGAATTTGGTTTTTAAACAAATAATAGTGTTGTGTAATCCATGTAGCCAACTTCATCCAGTGGGAGAAGGCTATTGTTGTTGTAAAGCTAGAATATTAAAGGTGTAGAAGGAATGAAAGATTCATTCTCAGTTAAAAAGAAAAAGTAAACCATAGGTGGAAAATAACTTTCAATAGTTGAAACAATATTCAATACCAGTAAGTTTGTCCAATTTTTGTAGAGACTTAGCTTTTAGGTAGACGGCTTCAAGCATCAAAGTATTCTTGACAGGTGTTCTCTCAGAAAGGGAGGTTTGCAATTGTTGTATGACTGCTTGAACATCAATCTCATCAAACATACGAAGAGCATTTTCCACGTTACCTCTTTGATACTCTAACTTTCCAATAAGAGCTTTTGCTTCCTATAAACAGGTAATAATAATAATAATAAAGCGACTAAATAGATAAGATTACTCAAACATATGATTGATTTAGCTCAAAAAGTTGTTCGCCGATTCATTACCTACCAATAACAAACAAGGCATGCCATATATCTTTATATTTGGAATAAATTTAATGAGAAATCGAGTCAGAGATACAGATTGCATCAATTTTCACATTTTATTTTTCTTAAGACGTCTTTATTTCGTTTTAAATTCAATAGCATGTAATAGATAATGCAATCAATGTATAAAAAGTATAATCCATAAAATGTGTAAAGATAATTTACTAGTATAATCTCAATACTTATCATATAGAAAAACAATTATCTCACAGTTAGATATGTTCAATCATGATTGTAGAACGTAAAGTTACAATCGATTAGATAAGGCATTACAAATATTACTAGTAAAGAACTTAATTACTATTTTGCTCATAGCTTATTCTTAAGCCAACTTGTACCGTAAAACAACGTATTCTTAGCAGTACTAAATTTTTTTTTTATCTTAAAAGCAATTATAAAGCCAGGAGTCTGAGTCGTGGACATATTCAACGACTCTGATAAATATTTGATGATTGAAAGACAAGTTATTCATGGGTTCAAATCCGAAATAGCTCCTCTGCACATGCAAGGGTAAGTGTGTGCACAAAGTCCCTCCTTCATACCTTTGCACAACGAGGAACTTTCTGTCACGGGGGTACTTTAGTTTCATTTAAGGGTGAGCAAAGTTCCGTATTCGAATTTGGAAACAGCCTATTTTGCATATACTAGTGTAAGGTTACATACAATGACCCTCCATTCCTTCGATGACGAGGATCCTTCTGACTTTAAGGTAGTACATATTGCAATGGTAGGTTGAGAACTGGGATCAGTCTCTTCCATGTTTCAAGCAAAAGTTAAGGATAAGGGGAACCAAATTCATAGATAAAATCAATGCTATGCAGTGAAGACCATGCAATAATAGTTGAACGAAAATCCAGTCACATTAAGTAAAACCACTCTTACACTTATCTCTCATTAGGTACTACCAATTCAAAATGGTATCAATAAGACAACAAAATTTAGCTCAGGTAATTAGTTATGATGATGAATAATGAGACATTGTAACATTGGTTTTCGATTGTTAAAAAGGTGGAATATACAATTAACAAAGAAAAATGAACCTCGGAAGTTAGAGACAACCCGTCACGCAATGTTGTTTCTGCTCCTTCAACATTTCCTGCATCAACCTCGGCCTCAACCTCTGACAGTTTGACGCAATTTCCATTCGCTCGGATCTCGCGAGTCGTCACAGGTTCGTTCTCGTCAGACTCCATCAATCATTATCTCACCACCTGCACACATGTGTGTGTTAATTTCAATGAATCCAAACATTATCATTTAAGATTGTTGTGTTGCTCACTGGTTGTGTATAAACAACAGAGAGAAAAGAAAATGTCGCTGTGAACAGAGATTAATTAAAATAAAATAATCGATCCAGAAAAACAACAAGGATAAGAAATGGGACCTTAAGCGTCGTCAAAACAATGTGGCTCCTAATAACGATCTCTGGGGAGGTTTTGTTTGTTCGGTGCTGAATTTAATTTTGATTATTTTTTCTCAAGAATTGTTGCAATGCAATTTCGAGATCACACGGACAAATCAGTTTGAATCTTGTTTTGTCTTTTTTAGTTCTCAGTTGTGAGATAAAAGCAAATAAAAAGATTAGAAAAACAAAAAAAATCAAAACAGCAAAAGAATGAGAAGGATAAATGGGCTGGTCAACAGCTACTCTACAAATGAATTAGTTTTAATATCTATGCAAAATGCACGGGATCATGCAAAATTTATCGAAGAACTTTAACCATTATATTAAAAATTAATAATTTTTAATATAATAATTATTATTATTATTATCATAATTATAGTATATGCATTATATTTACATGTAAAATTACAATGACTTCATATATATATATATATATATATATATATATGACACTCACCCTCCTTTCAATTTTAAAATAGAATTATCTCTTATTTTTTAAGAAAATAGTATTTAGTCTCTTCTAATTTTTAAATAGTTATTTAATTTTCCAATGATTTTAAGAAATTACATATTTTTTTCTCTTATGCTTTTAATAAACTACACTCACATCCATTATTATATTTTAAAATATCATAAAACTCGAATAGAAAAGTATGAAAAATATAAATTTAAATCCTAACATATAAAAATTAAATACTTTTTTATTATAAGAAATAAATTAATTTTAAAATATTATTTTATGAAAATATATGTTTGATATTTTTATTAGACAGTTCATAATTTCGTGACAATATATTTTATTATATTTTTAATATATAATAAAAAAATTATTCAAAATATTAACACTTTTTTATTTTATTGTGGAACTATTTTTAAGTTACATATATTTTATTTATTTTAATTAATATATTTCTTTTTAAATAATAAAAAGATGAATTTTATTATTAAAAATATGAGAGATACGAGTATTATTTATAAAAAAAAAAATGCTTATAACAAATATAACACATGCTATCACATTATTAAAAATAATGTAAATTTCATTTTAAAATTAGAGAAATGTGTTGTGTTTTTAGGTAGATGTGATCCCTTATTTATTTATTTATTTATTTATTTATTTATTTATATATATATATATATATATATATATATATATATATATATATATATAATAGTTGTTTTGATCGTGGTGTAAATGAGATTTTACTTGCAATTGATACCATAATTTAGTTATTAAGTATTTTAATATAAACTTATAATTTCTTTATCATATATGTTTTGTGTTTTTTAAAATAAATATTTTATTTAAAAAGTTGTATTATTAAGTTATTTAATAAAAAAGTATTTATAATCTATTGTAATTATTAATATCTATTCATTTTGAAATCATATATGAAAATTTAGACTTGGGAAACAAGACTTATGTTGTTAATTATGTTTGCAAATTTGGAGAATAATATTATTTTATTATTTACAAGATGTTGAGAATAAAGACAATTTTTTTACTCACAGAGTTTTATTCAGAATAAAGAGATTTTATATTATTATTATCGTAAAGCTAAAAAGTAGAGATGAACTTGATTGGTTTTTTAGTTTTATAAAGACATTTTTTGGAGGAATATCCCTTTCTCTTATACTTTTGCTTTTAACTTTTTTTTTCTTAAAAAACTTTAAACTTATAACTTTTAGTATCGTTTCCATTTAGATATAAGTACTACATTTGCTCGAAAGATAATTTCATGTATGTGTGCAAACTTTAAGAGTAAAATTATTTGATTATTTACAAAAAAAAATTAGCATGATTTCACACTAATAAAAATGTTATTTTCATTCTTATAACCCAAATTAAAGGTTTAAACCTTTGTAACGTTTTGCATTAGTTTTTTTTCAATAAAAATGTTATTAATTAAAATTAGTTAGAGATTATATTAACAAGAAGAAAATATACTAATAACAATGATAATTAAAAAAATAAAAAATGTTTTGACTATTTAAATTATTTATTATCTTATTATTTATCTATCCTGCAACTAAACTTCAAGAGTATAAAGAAAAAGAGAATATTATAATAATAATAATAATAATAATAATAATAATAATAATAATTTTTATTATTATTAACAAAATACTCCATTTAATACCTAAAAATGTAAAATAATTTTACGCAAATTTTAAAAAATAAAAATAAAACATTACGTAAGTCACCAATTAAATTGAATAATTAAATTTTAAACATTAATAATTAAAATAATTAAAAAATTATACATTTTTTATAAATTCTATTATATAATCATCATAAAATGAATTATGTATATATGATTATTATAATGTCTAAATTTTGTAATGATGATTTTTTTATAATTTAAATATTTGTTTCTTTAAAAATGTTTATCTACTACAATTATTTCCAATACACTCAAAATTGTTGTGGAGAAGAAAAAAGATAAAATAAAAAGACAAAAATTTAGTGAAAAGATAATTTAAATTACGATATGTATTTTTTTATTATATAGGTTTTTACTATGTTAAAATATAATAATAATAGTAATAAAAATAGTATGAAATTATTGTGACCAAACAATATCGGAATAATAATAATACAAAATTTTAAGTTTTGATGTAATAAAACGGAACAACGAAAAATTGCAAAGTGTATTGTAATAAAACAATAGCAAAAGAATTTTAATATAAAATCATGATTATATTTATAATAGTTGAACTTAAAATTATAGTTAATTTTAATTTTTTTCGATGATAATTTTAAAAATATTATTATATTTTTTAACAGTTGTTAAATAATATTATAGTCATCCATTTACCATCATGCTAATTGTTGTCCATTTGCCACCTTCTAAATCCTTAAATTTTCAATCTCCAAACTTTTTAAATGCTGTAAGTTCTGTCCGAAGGGAAGGATGAGAATGGTACAAATTATAAAAGTAAGAGATACTGTGCGAAAATTAAATTTGTGACAATTGTTAACAATCACTTATGCTTAAATAAACGATTTTATTATTTTTATTCATTAAAACGTTGCAACAATATTTAACTGCTATTGAAATAAAATTAATTTAAAAAATTTTAAATATTAAGAAAATTAGATAAAACAATGGAAAGACAATTTTGTGTAGCATTTAAAACATAAAGGATTTACTATCTAATAAGACACGGGCAATAAAAATGGAAGGAACTAAAGGTAGCCGACATGTGAGTAGCAGAAAGACAAAAAAGCATTAAAATATCTTCAAAATTATCACCACATAACGGATTTTGAAAAGGGTAGTATCGTCCATCGACCGGATTCTCTGCCCTAGCAATCCAACACGCGCGACTGCAGTGTCATAGTGCAACAAGAAGGAATCGCGCCCGCGCCTTGGAATCAGTGTTTACCTATTTCGCATATTCTTGTTCTCCTTCTTCTCCGTTTAGATTGTATTGGATAAAAGAGTTTCGGTCTCGGCGAATTGAATCTGAGTTCGCGACTGAACGATGGGTGTCCCAGCCTTCTATCGATGGCTGGCGGAGAAGTATCCGATGGTGGTTGTGGACGCAATTGAAGAGGAACCGGTCGTCATTGACGGCATTAAAATCCCGGTCGATACGAGCGAGAAGAACCCTAACAATATCGAATACGATAACCTCTACCTCGATATGAACGGCATCATTCATCCGTGCTTTCACCCCGAGGATAGGGTAACATTTCTCAGTCTCAAGAATTCCTCTTTGTAACTTGAGTAATGAATATTGTTTGAATTTCAACAATGTGAATGTGTATGATTAGGCGTTGTTAGTCTGCTTGTTTGCAGCCTTCTCCGACGTCGTTTGATGAGGTTTTTGAGTGCATGTTCGACTACATCGACAGGTTATTCGTCATGGTGCGGCCACGGAAGCTACTCTACATGGCTATTGGTGTGTGTTTGTTTCTTGTGATATTGTGATATGTAATTGCGCTGTCAGTGTTACTGGCGAGGCTCATTTGTTTTGTTTGGTTCGGCTTGTAGACGGTGTTGCGCCGAGAGCGAAAATGAACCAACAACGTTCTAGGAGGTTTAGGGCTGCGAAAGATGCAGCTGATGCGGTATGTGTTTCGCTTATATTTTTTTAACACTCATTTTGGATGCCTTATAGACGTCAATCTACTGTGTTTCTTGGTATCTAGTAGAAAAATGTTATTTGAAGAACAAACTGTACAATAAATTACAACTAAGAGGGAGAAATAGAGAAAAAAGAAAGAAGTACAAGATGTAATTAATAATGTGACAGAGAGAAATAGACATAAAGTGTTGTATAAATTGTTGCATGAAAAACTCGTCTCTATCTTGCAATTGTTGCAACTCCATCTGCTATTGTGGCTGCCATCGTTGCTGTGGTTGTGGCATGTGTCCTGCATCCTCTAGTCATCTCTGACTACATCTTTATTTTTAATACATATGTAATAACCATTATGCCATATGCGCGCAATGTTAACTGCTATATGATATAGCAGATTATTGACTCTCCACCATTTTCGGCTATCTGCAATTGAAACATTGTTTACACTCTTAAGTTGTTATCAACAATTCAGTTGAACCAATATGATGCAATACTGGTTGGTAATTGAAATCTTGAACTTTGCGGATGTGATTACTGATAGACATCGAGAATAGTGAATGCTCTGGTCTTGGGCTTGACTATTTATCCATTTATCTATACATTTTTATTTTTGTTTTTATTTTGTGGCTTACATCTATTGGTAAAATTTTATTGAAGTGGCAGATAGCCTTGTGAACATATAAGTTCCCTTGAAACAGTCTGAGGTGATACTGCTAGTTTCTTGCTTTCATCCCAACCTCTGTGATTAATGTTTTTGGTGTCTCACAATACATATATACATGTCATCATCCTTAATCTATCAAGAAAATGTTGAAATATTTGAGACGATGCCTAGATATGAGTTTTACCCATGTTTGCCTTCTCTTGTGTGATAGGCTGCTGAAGAAGCAAGGTTAAGGGAGGAATTTGAGAATGAGGGCAGAAAGCTTCCTCCTAAAGAAGAGTCACAGACTTTTGATTCAAATGTCATTACTCCTGGAACTGAATTTATGGCTGTTTTGTCAATTGCACTTCAGTACTATGTTCATCTTAGGCTGAACAATGACCCTGGTTGGCAAAATATTAAGGTAGATAGAGTGTTCATCTTATATAAGCTGTGGCTAGTGCCTCTCATTTGAGAGGAGGATGTTGTCTAATGTTATGGTTTATATGCATGTCTGAAGGTTATTCTCTCTGATGCAAATGTTCCCGGTGAAGGGGAGCATAAGATCATGTCCTATATCCGTCTGCAGAGAAATCTTAAAGGTTATGATCCAAATACACGACATTGCCTGTGTGGTTTGGTATATATCTTACTTCCAACTTGTTACTATTCAAAATTCATATTTGATTTTGTTTATCAAAAAAAGAAAAAAAGAAAAATTTGCTTTATTTGTCACAGATGTCATTAACTTGCACTTACAATTTAGTGTTCTGATGTCAGGATGCTGATTTGATAATGTTGGCATTGGCTACCCATGAAATTCATTTTTCAATTCTTAGAGAGGTTTGTGTCTAATGAGTTGTCTTTGTCTCTTTAAATAGAGCTTATTAGAGTAGCTAAGTAAATACATGATGTTTACAGTGAAAAATGATTGATATAAATTTTGCAATTGTTTTGGCTTTTTTCCGTCAGATTTTGCATTTGAATTGTTGGTAAATAATGGGTTATTGCAGATTGTATTTACTCCTGGACAAGACAAATGCTTCCTTTGTGGTCAGATGGGTCATGTTGCTGCAAACTGTGAAGGAAAGGCAAAAAGGAAGTCAGGAGAGTTTGATGAAAAAGGAGAGCCTATTGTGGCAAAAAAACCCTACCAGGTCAGGTTTTGATTTGAAATTCAGAAATTTATTGAATATGACAACATAATTTATGCACTTTAGCCCTTAATTCTCACGTTTTTTTTTTCTTCGTGTAGTTCCTGAATATTTGGACTCTGAGAGAATATCTGGAGTATGAGATGCGAATACCTAATCCTCCATTCAAAATTGATTTTGAATGCATTGTGGATGATTTTATCTTCATGTGTTTTTTTGTCGGCAATGATTTCCTTCCTCATATGCCTACACTAGAGATTCGCGAGGTCTGGCATTCTAGATCACTTGCTCTCTCTCTCTCTCTCTCTCTCTCTCTCTCCCCCTCTCACCTATTTTCTATGTATTTGATATGAATCAAATTTCAGGACTGGTCTTCTCTTTTGTAAGCATTAATTTTTGGATTTTTCCTTGACTTAGCTTAACTGGTCTTGGACATTTATGGGTGATGTTTTCCCCTCTGTTTGGATTTCGTAGTCTAGGAAAAGCTCAAACTTTTAGATTGAGGCAAAAAGAAGTTGCAATAAGTGAAGAAACTATATAAATGAGCTTTTAGACTAACATGCATTTCTGTATGTCTCACTGAATCAAAACACTTTTAAAATATATGATATGGACTATGGATCAGTCTTCATAGTTTTCAAAAGTAGTAATGTTTTTGAAATAACATATCTGTTTGTTTCTTTAACATATTTTTGTTGGAAGTGTTTATAAGTGTTTAGGTGGTGTTTAATTTGCGGTGAACTTTATGTATGTATTTGAGTTGATAAATTAAGACAAAATAATATATATATATATATATATATATATATATATATATTTTATAGCATAATTCAATGCATTATTTTTAATTGAAGAGAAATGGATCTGAACTTTCAACAATGGTGTAAATGTTGAGGTGGATAGAAGTCCTAATCTTTAGCATCCTTTCTAATTTTTAAAATTTTGTTGTATGGCTGTAATTATGGTGTTAAGATATTGGCCTTGTATTATCTGATCATAGGTGTAATGTTTTATACGCTAGTTTATGTTGTGTAACTGATCTATTTGTTGGTAATTTCACTTTTTTTACCTAGGGTGCAATTAACTTGTTGATAGCTGTATACAAGAAGGAGTTTAGGGAATTTGGTGGTTATTTAACCGATGGAAGCATGGTATGTGATGGTAACTGGGGTGATTTCTGTTATATGCTATGCCTCTTTACATTTAAATACTGTTCACTTGCAATTTTCCTTTTTCTTTACTGCCATTTTTCAGATAAATTTGAGCAGAGTGGAGCACTTCATTCAGGCTATTGGATCTTACGAAGATAAAATATTCCAGAAAAGGGCTCGATTGCATCAGGTCTGTTTAGTTGCATCTCTTTCTTTCTCCTTCAAGGACTAGATAGATAGAGATCATCAGTTAGTGCGTATTAGCAGATATAATAAACATTTATTTGCCTACATAAATTTTCCTAGACATAGATGTTTGAGCCTGCTCTTAAGTGATGATTTTTTTTTTTTTGTATTTATTGTTCTACTTTCAGCGGCAAACGGAAAGAATAAAGCGCGAAAAGACACAGGCAAGAAGGGGAGATGATGCTGAACCTCAATTTGAACCAGACTCTTTAGTTGCAGTTTCACGATTCCATGGTTCTCGTCTTGCTTTGGCTCCAACACCTTCACCATTTCAACAATCTGGGCATTATAATTCTCAAATGTCCTCATCAGTTAGAGAAGACAACAAAGAAGCCTTTGAGAGGCCTCGTAAAGTTGCTAGGGTATCTTTAGGAGCAACTATTGGTGCTGCTATAGTTGAAGCCGAGAATAGTCTTGAGATAGAAGTATGTATTCCTGCCTCAGGAGAGGCAATCTTTAGAACTAATATGTGGGCTAACCTATTACTGGGTATGAGCCTGGCGAGGAATTAGATGCACTTTACTATCTTGTCATTGTTATTCTAACTTGGTAGGTTTTTACAATGAGTTGGTTATCTCTTCCCTATCTTGTTTGAGTTTAGTATTCTTTTATCTTTCAGGTTCGTGATAATAAAGATGAATTGAAAACAAAATTGAAGGATATACTTCGTGAGAAATCTGATGTTTTCAACTCAAATAAAGCTGAGGAGGACAAGGTAAGGAAGGTCTTACAATTTTTTGGTTTATTATTTTAGTTTCCGTATGCATTTTTACGTGTGGTTTTGTTTGTTTTTAATAAGTAACAAATAGCATGTAAACTATCCTGCCTATGGATATTTGATTAAACCTTAACCTTTCGTTTGGATGGCGAAATTTGTAGAGGGTAATCCATTTAAATAGAAAATTTGGAAAGTTTCATGACAAAATTAGTTATTTGGATAGAATATTTTGAAAGAAATTGAAATTCTAGGAATTTATGAGTAATTTGATTACTTAAAATTAAATAATTTAAAATTCTACCTAAAAAGTAAGAATTTTGAAATTCTCCATACTTTTTTCTTTCTTAAATATATGTATCTTATTTTCATATTTTCTCTATGACTTAGTCTTGGTTAAGATATCTTCAACCCTTTTTGACTTCAGTTGACTTGCCTTGACCTAGCTTGATCCATGTCGAAATTGTTTGACCGGAATATACATGGCCTTGCCCACTCAAGATGGCTTGACTTTACCCTACATTTCATGACTTGGTTCAACCCAATCCAACTCGTTTTGACTATACTTGACATGTTTTAATCATACTCGACCCATCTCGAACCCAACCATTCTCGACCTTGCTTGTCCCATCTTGGCTTGACCTAATCCATAACGACTAGATTGATCAATCCCAATACGATTTGACCTATCTTAACTTGATCCAACCCTTCTTGATCAATCCTTACCCAATTGCTTAAAATAGGCCTGACTCACCCTAACTCGCTTGACCTAACCTTTCCCAACTAATCTTGATCTAAACCCTGCTGATTTAACATGTCTTGTCTTAGTTTCGACCCACCTGTTTGGTATTGGCTAGTCCTGTTCGATAATGATTCAACCTAACTCTTCTTGACTTACTTGACTCAATCTAACTTGACTTATCCCTACATTTTTAACTTGTTCTGACACAACTTGTCTTATCTTCACATGATGTGACTTAATCTCAATCTAGCTCGACCTTATCTGACCCAATATGATGATTTGACCTTGCCCGATCCAGCCTATCATATTTCTCGTTGGCCTAACCTGATTCATGTAGATAAGAGTCAAATATTGTGAGTTAAGCCTAATTGATAGATCTAGTTATATATAATTTTTGTATTTGATAGTAATTGAAATATTCTATCCAAACAAGAAAATTAAAATGCAATAAATTTGAATTGTCTTATGCAAACAAATCATTTGAAAAATGAAACTATTTAAAATGAAAGCAATTATCATCATTGTATTTGAATTTCTTATTTCTTATAAATTACAAAATACCTTATTCAAATACAAGATAAGGACTTAATTTCATTATCATTGTTTTCCCATATCCACCTAGTGGTAGTTTGGGGGTTGTCTTTGGGTTGTCATTGTCTTTGTGCTTGGATCAAATCTTGTCTGACGCAATTTCCTACTAGTTGGATGATGAGTTTTGTATGTTGAACTTGAAACTCAATCCAATCGACCTAAATTTTTAAATAGTAATAATAATATAATTAATACTTAATTTATTTAGTTATTCTATTAACTAAGGATATATTTATGAAATATTAAATTATTCAATTGTTAAGTAATCACTTTTTTTAAGTCCAAAAATCTAACAAAAAATGTTTTTTCATTAAAAATTTTAACGAAAAAAAATAAAAATCAGAAAGTTGTGACCCAATTGAGCCTGTCCAACTTAATCAAGGATGGGTTGACTTGTATTGGATCTACCAAAAATACAGAAACACAACCCAGCCCAACCCAAGATATTTTTATTGGATTGGGCGATGATTTGTCCAAACCCGACCCAACCTCACTTGTGTACACCCCTAGGTAGTGGGGATATTAATAGTTAGAATTACATGAATTGTACTGTTCATATTCTGATTAAATTATATTTGTTGTTTTTGAAACATTTTTATTTGCTAGGGAGCTCAGTTTGAATTATCTGCTGCTGTTTCATGTTTTATTTTCTATTATTTTTAATTACAAAACTCTTATCTTGTTTTAAACTGTTTTCTATTTTCAAAGATTTTTATAGTAAGCATTCAAAACAAACCTTTTTGGTTTTCTTTGTTTCATTGACAAATGTGTGAAAACAGGATTTTTGTAATAATAAAAGGGAAAACAAGAACCAAAAGTACAAGTGAACACTCCCTTAGTCTTTTCCCTCCACTATTTTGTAGTTTGTTATCACTTTAATTGCTATTTAGTTCGCCAGTGCACCTTAAAATATTATTAATGATTTTGTTGAAATATTTGTTATAACATTTTAAATTATTCATCATGAATCTTACTATTCACTAAACTGGTTCAAGTCATGATTCGGAAAATGTTTCTTTTGATTCATGAAATGAATTCCAATTTATGTTGTGCTGATAAGTATCTGTTGTTGGTAATTGTTATTTATTTTCCCTTCCTTAAAACTATAATTTATGTTGAGGAACTTTTGGAAGTTTTTGGGATATTAGAATGTTAATTATGCTAAAGTTCTCATAATGTTCTTGTTCCAGCAAAAAGCCTCAGTATTATTTTTAGATTTCAAGCCAGAGCATTTTATAGGTTTCAATTGGTTAATTTTCTTTTCTTTTCAAGTACCAGACTTTGATTATAGTAAGATTGGTCAATTATTATTTTTATTCATTAAATACTGAACTTCTCAAGTTTTCTCCTAATATATTGGGTTGGTATCATAATCCAAGCCATGAATCTCAAGTTCTTGGCATGAATATTGGGCAGTTACCTATATTGGTCAAAACTCACCCCTTATGGGTTTGGGAGATTGGACGGTACAGTTCCATTCATGATTTGGAAAATAAATCTTTTGTTTCACGATATGACTTTCAATTTGTCAACCATTGTGAGGTTGTTAGCATCATTGTTAATTATGCTGATGTTGGCTAGTTAACTTTTCTATGAAAGAAAAAAATTGGTAGGAAATATTAACTGATTCATTTGGAATGATTTTACTGATGTATGCTGCAGGGAATGGTTGGAGTTGTTGCGATGTGACCTATAACAAGTTGAAGTTATGTAATAAACCTTATGGAACATAGTTCTTCTACCCTTAGCTTAGAGCAACAAACTGTTCATATTTTGGGGGGTTTGATTATGTGCAAAACCTTCTAAATTCTCTTTGGATCTAGGTTATAGGTTGCTATTTTGAGAATTATGACATGCATTCATATGTAACGCTTGCAATTGTGACTCTTATACTACATTTTTGTTTGTAAAAAGCTATTTCTCTTTTTTCCTTTTTAAGTTGTTTCACTTCATTGTAGCTTATATTTCTCTTTTCAACAGATAAAGTTGGGAGAGCCGGGCTGGAAAGAGAGGTATTATGAGGAAAAGTTTTCTGCTAAAACTCCTGAGGAACTTGAAGCTATAAGGAAAGATGTTGTAAGTTTATGAATTGAAGTTTTACTAATTTTTATTCATATGGAGATAAAGGTTTCTTACTGTAGTCTATTGTTTAGGTCTTGAAATACACTGAAGGCCTATGTTGGGTGATGCACTATTATTATGAAGGTGTTTGTTCTTGGAATTGGTGAGTTCCTTCTCTAGTTCTTTCTGGAGAACTGTATGAATCTTATATTATGCTGAGTTTCCTTTGCCTTTAATATGGCATTATGGTTTCTGTTTCCTCATCTTGACCAAATATGTGGTGACCCGAAGTTAGCTGTTGATCTCAGACCAATTCTTGATGTTATGTTAGAAACTGGTTCAGATGGATTACAGAAAATAATTTTTATTGGAAATTATTCTGCCCTGACCCAGCACCAGGGTGGTGGCAGAATAGTGGACAACAGGAAAGAAAACAGTACTCTTATTTGATGCTCCTGTCCTTCCCTTTCAGTCTATTTAATAATCTTTTACCTGATTTTGTAACTAATTACTCTTAATCTGTTAAATGATAATGATCTATTCTAAGGGAATGATCCCATGTTCTGCCTCTATTTCTCCTCACCTAAACCTTCAAAATAGGGGGTCATGGTATATCTGGATTAACTTTTATGGTCTAAATAGAGATGAAGAGGCTAAAACTTCATGGCAATATGTGATCTATGACTTTGATTAGAATTTCTGTAATTACTTTGAAATAAGTGTATGTTTTGCTAGGATTAATATTTGGGAAAATAAGCTCTTTGCTTATCAATCTCTGTTATCTACCTGGTTTTAGGAAACCTAGAGGGATGACGCTTTTTTTTGTACCTACCTGGTTCTAAATATTGCTTTCCCCTTGATTTGTTGTAATGTTCAAGGTCACAAGGTATTTGTTGGTTTACAATTTAGAATCCTAGTTTCTTCTAAAAATGTCAAGCACACAAATCTTGTTAGAGATAGTGATGTCTGGTTTTAAATGGAAAACGGTAACTCCTAGCCTAGGACGAGAAATGATAACAACACACTATCTTTTTTTAAACACTTTTCTATTTGTCTCAAATTTATTGGAAATAGAGTTTTTTGGTAAGTCTCCTGATTTTGTAGATTTCAAGAAATTTGAACCAATAGTGAAATGTTTGATAGAAAGAGTGTTAGAGAGTATGTTGTTAGCACTCGTTGGATAATGTCGTTTGTTTGGCAAACTTATGATTTTAGAGAATTTAGTGAGTCTCTTACTACTGACTTGTGTATCTAATGTATTTGTTTATATATAAAAGGTAGTGTACATGAGAAAAAAGAAAAGTGAATTGGGTCACTGATAAATAATCCATAAAAAACAGCTGTATGAAAAGCTGAGCAACAGATAAAAAAGGATTATTTTAACAGATAATGTTGGATCAAATGCTGTTTTGGGCCTTTAATACTTTCATCTCACCACCTGTATTGACAAAATTAACCACAGAACTAGCTAAAATGGCTGGTTATGTGACACTGGTAAGGCTTCTTACAGTATTGGCAAAAACACAGACACACACACACACACACTCTTAGGTGGGGAACCTTGTGCTCTGGGTTGGTTTTTTAGAGATATTAGCAAGGTAAGCACAGCGAGAATAAGAAAATTTAGTTACTTCAATTGCCTGTGAATTTTATGTTTTCTCGATCCAGATTGCATATATTAGAATTGCATGTCTCATTTTATCATTTTTTATTAAAACAGGTTTTATCCTTATCACTATGCCCCCTTTGCATCTGATCTCAAGGGCCTTGGTGAACTTGATATTAGCTTTAAGCTTGGTAACCCATTCAAACCATTTGACCAGCTTTTAGGAGTCTTTCCTGCTGCAAGGTTTGCTTGCTACACAACCTATTTTTGTAAGGAATTGTAGCTTTCTAAATATGGTCAGTATAACATTGGAATTACGATATATTTGCAGCTCTCATGCACTTCCCGAGCCATATAGGAGACTTATGACAGATCCAAACTCACCAATCATTGATTTTTATCCAATTGGTATGTCTTTATGAAAGTGGGCTGTTAAATTAAGTTTTTGAAGTTCCACTAGATTACGAGTATTATAGCTCCCCATTTAATATTCGTGTTGTATCTCAGACTTTGAAGTGGACATGAATGGCAAACGCTTTGCTTGGCAGGTTCAATCCTGATATACCTTTGCCTTTTTCTTCAGTGTTTTCCTGACATGGTTGCATCATAGCTCATGATACCATGTTTCCTCTTTGCAGGGTATTGCTAAGTTGCCTTTTATTGATGAAGTGCGTCTTCTTGCAGAAGTTCAAAGTATTGAAAACTTTTTAACAGTATGTCTGTATCCCCTGTATTCAAATGCACGATTGATTCAATTTGCTGTTCTCAACTCTTCCCATGTTTACTAATTTTAGCTTATATTTTTTCACCATTTCTTATTTCTACTGAAAAAAATAAAAGCCTGAGGAAAAGCGACGGAATGCTATAATGTTTGACTTGCTCTTTGTGAATTCTTGTCATCCTCTCTCTTCATGCATAAGTATACTAGACAACAAGTGTAAAAACATGTCAGACAGGGAGCGGGCTGTTGTCAAGGAAAAAATCAGCCCCAAAGAAAGGTTGGTGCATAATGGTTTGCAATTTTATAGTAATCTTTTTGAATGATGATAAGGTTTTAATGAAATTTCCTTCTGATCATAGTACGCGATTTGTTGCATCTGGTGGCCACTATTTATGGTCATGAGTCATAACTTGTCTCAGAATTATGATGTTGCAACCCATACTATACGATTTAACTTGTATTGATTGTGCGTCTGGAGTTTACAATTGCCTTTAAGAAACAAAATGAGACCTTTTTGTGTTTTTCATCTCTTCATTGATGTTAAAATAAATGAGGCATAAGCTGAATCCCTAATGTGTATTAAGCACATAGGGTTATCTTTTTATAAATAAGAAAAATTCAAAGATTAGGAAAATACATAAATGATATGGGCCTAAGCCCATTATATCTAACACTGGTGCATATAAATAATATGTCTCAAGCTTGTTACAAGTATAAATAGTATTCCAAACTTGACTTAACAGGACTTGGTCCTTAAATGTCATAATGAACTAAGGTAAAAGGAGACAAAGCATGTTAGGAGACTTTTAGGGAAAGAACCATAACTGTGTTTTTCTAATTGACACAACTCTCAAGACAAACTCAGAACAAGCACATGCATCTTTGTAAGGGTAGGATGACCGAACTGAAGGTAACAGAGAGTAAATAGCCCAAAGTAGGATGAAGGAGTCTAGAACCCAATGGCCAGGAGAAGGTAACAAAAGTACACAGTGAAGAGACAAAAACTTTATTACCAGTAATATGACCTTTAGCACCTGAGTCTAGAACACAAGTGCCAAGAGAGTTTGAGTGAGTGAGGCCAGCTAATAATGTATCTATGTGTGCAACAAAGCTTTGGAACTCGAGTTTTGACGTTCCTCATAGTAAACTGTCTTGAATGATCAGATGGAGTAGGACCCAAATCAGATGGTTACAAGGGAGTAGCTTGGGTAACTGTAGAAGAAGCCATAAATAATTGTAGAGAGAGAAAATAATCATAGGAAAATAGGAACAACCTTAAAAACATAAAAAAATTCCAACAGAGTCTGGATTACAATGAAAATTACAGATCTGAAATGAGGGACAATCAAGTCTGGCAACGGTAATCAGCGCCGCAGAGGATGTTGAAAGTGCTGTCATGTGCGGCTGGAAGTGGTGACAGTGATGAGGGCTGTGGCGGTGCTGTGGGCATGTCTGAGCTTCGATCCCCTCGATTTTTGCAGTGTGGTGGTTGCATGGTTGAGAAGAGCACCACTGTGGTATCACCAATGCAAACTGTGGCGATAATGGTGATGGCAGAGGTGTGGGGGTACAAGAGTAGGTGAAAAATAAAAATTTAGCACTGGGGAGACAAAGCTGAATCCCTAATGTGTATTAAGTACATAGCTTTATCTTTTTATAAATAAGAAAAATACAAAAATTAGGAAAATACATAATGATATGGGCCTAAGCCTGTAACATCTAACAATTGATAATGGAACACGCACTTGAGAAACGAGTCAATTAATACAGAATTCCTAGGTAGGTATCAATTACTTTTTAATTTGAAGTTAAGCTTGGACATAATGTTCAAAACTGTAACAATAATATATACATACCTCTTACATTAAAAGGCATAGTAAAACAAAATAATGTGCAAGGGGAGAGAACCTAACACTGACTTCTCATACTACTCTAGGATTAAGCATCCCATAATACCCAAATCCCTTTTAGATAGCTCATCAAAATGTGGGTTCAGGTAGCAAAGCATTTTATGATCAGTATGCTAAATGCTACTGTAACTCAAAATTAGTTCATAGTTAATTTTTAAAAGTCCATGTATTGGTTTGGCTACTTAGCGGCTAACATTAAAGTAACCTTGTTATACCCATAGCTGACATTTTAAACAAGGGATGTCGTTTGTGTCAGTGGTGGACTGGCATTAGTACTATTCTCTGTTTAGGCATTTAAATGTTTAGATATGTCAAAATTGGTGCCGGAAAACATGCTGATCTAATTATGATAACGAGAGTGGGCCTTGCCTTAAGTTTTTAAGGAGAATTGTTGTTTTGGAGTTGCAAACGAACAAATGTTTAAAAAGTTGATGATTTTGTTTTCTCCGAAGACAAGCACAGTAGATGCTGCTATTGAAGTTCATTGCAGATTTCAAATGCATGAAATTGTCAGCTTAGACTACTTTACACACACACACACACACACACACACACACACACACACATATATATATATATATATATATATATATATATATATATATATATATATATATATTAAAGTTTTCCAATTTTAGTATCTTGTTGGACTATTTTCTGATGTTATTTAGGGATACATGCAGTGGTGGAATGAATGGTTACATATCCTTATGTGGTGGAGAACCTTGCCCTCCTATCTTTAGGTCTTGTGTTGCAGGCATGGAAGATATCAAGGACAATCATGTGTTGTAAGTCTCTCGATACTGGGTATAATTTAATAAGAACATGATTCATGGTCATAGATCTGATACTTGCTGTGATTTATCTTATTTGTCTTTTCATATCATGTTGGTCAGATGTGCAATATATAGACTCCCAGATGCACATAAACACATTTCCCGACCACCACAAGGAGTTAAATTTCCAAAAAAGGTATCAAATTTAGTAGCTGCTCCTTATTTATATCCTTCAATTTCCAAGTCCCTTTCCCGGTTAAGTGTTCAATTTCAAACGTTTGCCACATTAATACACCGGTCTGTTTAAAGTACCGTACCTCGTGTTTCGTCTCCTTATTCTGTAATGCAGTTGGAAAAATAAAATTATGTGCTTTGTGTACAGACTGTTACAATTGGAGATGTAAAAGCTGAACCTGTTTTATGGCATGAAGACTCAGGTAGGAGACATCATGCTAATAATGGGAGGTAAGACTTTCTTTTATACTTTGTTTGGATTACAAATGAAATAGTATAGGAGAAAGAAATGAGGAGGAATGGAATGAAAACTAGAGAAATATAAGAGAAATAAACTAAACAGCATATACTGCTTGGATTGGAAACAAATTGGAAATTGAAAATAAATAAATAAATTTTAAAAAAAATTCGTAGTAATTACAAAATAAATTAACTCCATTTTTCTTATCATACAATTGATTATTTTTTATTTATTTCATGTTATAATTATTTATTAAATTTTTTAATAAAATTACACAAAAAACGATAAACCCTTTCATCTTCATCCCATTTGGGGGATTTAGTGAAGTTTGAACATTTTTCATCCCATTTCTACTTCAACCAAAGCCAAAAATCACAAATCCCTTTTGTTTCCCTTTGGTTTCCGTCCCACCCAATCACCCATTTTATTTTATGATTTATTGTTCTATTATATGCAGCATTAGTATATCTAGTTGGCTAGGACTGAATGGGGCTCCAATTTTTATTTCAGGAAAAACCCTCCAAAATCTATTTCTGGTCGAGAGCTTGGAGATGCTGCACACAGACTTGTTGTCAATTCCTTACAGGCAAAGTTTGACAATAATGGATACCACCACCGCTCGCATAATGGACCTCATGTATCTTATCCCTTACCAATGGATCATCGACTATCAGTGTCTTCCTATGGCAATGAATCACGCCCAGGACACGTTCCAATACCACCTATTTCAGCTCCCTCACTCGAAGGCAGACCTCAGTTTGCACCTTGCAATACTGTCCCTACTACTCAGCAGTATGATTGTTATAATCAGCAATCTAATCATTTAAAAAAAAAAGACTATCAACACCCGAGATCACATCATCATCATGAAAGAAGAAATCTCCATCAGGGTAGGGGGGGTAGTAGTTCGAGGCACGGATATCAATCATCAGGAAGTAATCAGAATGGCAGTTTTATGAATAATACACAACGTGCATATGCTAGTCATCATCACGAAGTTAGTCACCACAGCCAAAACGTCCAACCATCTGGAACTTACCAGAATTGGACTCCACAAAACAACCCGAGTGGGCACAGGGAATATGGTCATCATTCATCCAATCAATATTCTTCTTTAGATAGACGAGGAAACAAGAATGCAATGCGACCACCTGCTTACAATCGCAAATAAATTCTTTTTGTCCGGGGAATATTTTTCCCCAACATTTAAAAATTGTTGTACCATATGTTTTTCTCTCAGTGAGTTGAGTTTGGAGAGCTGGACTTGCATTTTATCCTATTATGTCCAGTGGAGACGATAGTGAAACCAGTTTTCCGTTGAATAGATGAATGTGAGAAATTATAACCCCTAGAACTCAGGTTTGATAATTTTTACCCTACATCATAGCCTATTCAATTGATTGTTTATCTTTTTCGGGGAGAGATTTCATGACTCTTTATCTTAAACTTTTACTCACTGTTTTCCGCATGTTTCTTATTTTCTGCTGACGTGTTGACCATGAAAAATTGAAGGTAATTATACCATTTAATCGATTTACTCAATTAATACTTATGTAAATAAGATCATTGTTCTGAAAATTGATTTGTCTGATTTATTAAAATAGTTAGTTGTACTTCAATAATAAAATATTTAAATAAAAAAATATTGGTTGGATTTTTAGATTGAACTGTTTTTTTGTAAAAGAAAAATAATTTTGTATTTTTTTTAAAATTTTTTAAAAAGATATATTTTTATAAGAATATAATATTTTTTAATTTTTTATTTCACTTGTGTTATATTAATTTTAAATTATTATTATATTTTTATGATTATTAATTATTAATTTTTATAGAAGTTATAAATATTAAAATTGTTATATATTTATTATATAATAAAAATAATTATTTTATTAAATTTAATTCGATTCGGTTGATTAACCCGGTTCTGAAAACATTTACTAAGATCATATACGTTGTTTGGCAGGGATAGAAGTTATACCTGTACTTCTTTTTTATTGACAGAGAGAAGAGAAATAAAGAAGGGATGATTGTTAAATAGAGATAATTTTAAAAAAGTGATTAATAGTACGATAAATTCCATTCTTAAAACGAAAAAAATCTATTAAATGTAGTTTATATATTTTTATAACAAATACTTAAAACTGGTAAGTAAAAATTTAGCTATATTTATGTATTTTCACTATTAAAAGGGTTATATTTATTATTTATTTATTAGGACTGTGAAAAGGATTGTCCAACTTGCCTATATAAGATTAAATAAAAAATTATTAATTGACATTGTTTAACTGTGAAATCCAATAATGTTTTCAGTATCAAGTGATTTTGTAAAATAAGTTTATACAAATTATAACAAACAAGTGCCTGGTTGCACACCTGCAACATATGGATCACGAGTTTCTGCATCGAAAAGATAAAATTGACACTAACGAAAGAAAAAAGATCGACACAAGTTAAAGAGACTCGCGTTTATATTTCATGTAGATGTGGATTTCTCGTGAGTCTCTCCTCACCTGTAATTCTTTTTTATTTTTATTTTTTTCATATTGTTGGTATCTTCAAATTCTAAATCTGGAATGCAATATCTGCATATTTCAGAAAACATGGTTTGGTTTCAGGTTAATGAATCTCATAGTTTGGTTCCAGCTATTTCATGTAGCAGTAGATGGAAAGAGATGAATTTGGACTTATTAATTGTGCTTATTTTGTTTCACTCTATTTAAATGATCTTATTTTATTTGTTAATTTTATTTTCCTTTCTAATTTACTTTCACACCATCAAACAAAATATAAGAATGTGTGTTGTTTAAAAAAAGTAATTTCGTCTTAGAAAGAACTATGTTAGAGTTAATCCACCTGATAGCATTAGTTTTTAAAATTTTAACAAAATAAGAAAAAATGTTTAACAAGAAAATATAATGTAAAGTCATAAAAATTTAAAACGAATTGTATAAAATTAAATCCCGTTGAAAGTAAAATAAAAATTCTAACTTTGTGACATGCTCATGATGGACTTTTTCTGACCTACGAACTTGTGGAGCAAACAAATGAAAAATGTACCATTAAATTTTGACAACCACATCAAGATTCAAGAGCCTTTAATCATTAAACTAGGTCGCAAGTCCCAACTACTTGTTCTACAGTTTTATTTTGTCACTTTTCTGGCTTAAAGCATATGCCATAAACATCCAAAAATAGCATGTGCAGTGAATTATTGGTAAGGACATAGAACTTTGATAATTTATATATATATATATATATATATATATATATATAGAGAGAGAGAGAGAGAGAGAGAGAGAGATAGAGATAGATAGATAGGTAAAATAAAAAGGTAAGAAACAAATGAAATGAAGGGAAAGAAAAAGAATTTGTGCTTACATATAGAAGCAAAGTGGCTCTGCATTCTAAACCACCACAATCTTAAGGAAATGTATGTATGTATTTATATGCCTGATAAGAAAAATTTACTGATATATATATGAACTGTTATAAGGGTATAGGGAATAATAATCTTTCAGAATTTACAGCATGGAAACCGGAACCTCCAACCCCGCTGCTTCCTGCGATGCCTACTATCAAGTTTTGTTGTCAATCTCACTGGACTGCTATTCCATTCTGGTTGTAATCTGCAAGCACAAGAAGCAAATCAGTGTGTTTATTTCTCAATGCTTGAAAAGAAACTTAGAAGTTTTGAGGCTTTTTTTTTTTTACATGGGAAAGGCAAAGGAGCCTGAGCTAGCTGTGCTGCTATCTGATCGAAGAGAGATGCTTCCACAATAAGGTAGAGGTCCTAAGTAACCAAGGGAGGAGGAACTTGACTCGCCTAATCTTTGATGCACTTGATTTTTTTCACCCTGATCATCAGACTTCACATCTGCATCTTCAGTTTGACCACTATGACAGTCACTAAATTGACTACTTCCTGGATCCGAATGATCAAACTGATTCGCCATGTTTCCATTCTCCTGCAGGAAACTAGTACTGCCAAGGATTTCAGTTTTTGATTCCAAAGTTGGACTAGAAAACACTGTATGATCCTCAATCACATTTTTGGACTTGTCAGGCTGGGAGTGAAAGTCCGGCTCACTATCAACCTGTAATAATAATTAAAAATACAGGATCATTACTTCATGAAATGTATTTCTTCACGAGTGCTCACTCACAGATATTCCTAAAGAAGTCATAGTCAACTTCATATAAACAATGCTCCATATTATTTTGCAAGATATGGACTATACTATAATGGTTAACTTGAATGAATAGCATGCAAATTTCACGAGGAAAATTGTTGAAAATACCTTTGCATGGACGTGTTCGATTTCATCTGATGTCCTGGGTTTCTCTGTGTCTAACTCTTGTAACAAAACGTTATCTTCAGCCACAAGAATCTCCTTATACACGTTATCAGCAAGTTTTCTGGTTGCATCTTTATCTAGCTGCATCAAATCCTTGGATTGATCAGATTCATCTTTTACTGGTGGATTTAAGAGATTGATCCCAACATTTTCTTTCACTGATTCTTTATTTTCAGAACTCCGAGAAGAATAAGTTCTGTGTATGTTTTCGTCTACTTTTCTCCCAAAAAAAATATTATCCCTAGTAGTGACTCCTTCATCCACACAGATATCCTTGATAGTGTTGTAACTAGTCTCTTTGTGACATATTACAAGTTCTGGTTCAAATTCTGTAACACTTTTGTCCATGTAGAGATCTTCTGAATCTTCTAATGAATCTGTTTCCTCTATTGAGTCATGGATTGGTGAATTGTGGGACTTTTTCACTGATTCCATATCATGGTGAAGCATCCCAAGTGACTGTATTTCCTTCGGAGAATGGGATGCAGAATCAACGGAGTCCCTGACCTGTGCTTCATCATCATTTTGTAAATCAAGTTTAATTGTAGTCGTGAAATCTACCGACCCCATATCATTAGGGTGACAGATTTGAATCTGTTATACGTCTCTATATCAGTGGAGGCTCTAGTTTCAAAATCCTTTATTCTGCGATGTTGTGATTTGAATCCAGTAGAATATTACATTACTGTCATTGAAATCAAATGATTGAGATTCACGCCCAAGGCAGGCCAATATTTGAATGTGAAGAAGCCAGTTCTACTTCTGTACATTATCAAGTAGCAGAAATTTTTTTTGCAAGGTCCGATTTTCACAATAAAAACCCACTTGATCATAAAATAAATACAATAAACAACATAGAGGAATCCACAAATTCATGTCAAGAATGGCTATGTAAGAAAACCATACTTGAAACGAAAAGTTATGAATCAGGACCCAACTAGTTCAATAAAATACATAAGATGAACCCTATTATCACAAAGAGAATATATGAAGTATAGCTGCTGGAGACAATAGTAAAAGTACCAAAAGCAGAAACCAGAATTAAACAAACAGTTTGTTACCTAGTTTCATGGTCCATGTAGAGTTCAAACAAATGGAAAAGTTTGTTTTACTACCAGTAGTATTTTCAATCAACGAGACTAGCCAGATCACAGGAATAAATATGTTAGTATGCACGATGTAACAACTTATGAGTCTTTAAGTGACTCAACTCAACATAACCTTTTTAAATCAAGAAGACAAAAGAAAAGTGACATTTCACAATTCATAAAAGAATTCAGATATTCGTTTGGATTTCAGCCGAGGGGAAACCATGTCTATGTTACAAAGACTGTAAGAGACCCTTTTTTCCACACATATATTTCGAACTTTTGATGCAAATAATATTGACTAGAACCCAATGAGAACTAGAGTGTAACAAAAAAATGGGACAGTTTACCAAAAGCTTTGAGAATATTGAGACCTAATTAAATTGGGGGGCCATGTAATGACTTTAGTATCTGATATCCGCACAGCCTGTCCCAATCATTTTCATTATCAAAGAATATGAGCTTCTGGCTGTACTTAAAGTTGTAAAAGCATGTTCCTGCAGCCTTTTTCTTTTATTAGTAAAAAAGATTTGGTTTTGGACTAACAGAATAGAATCCTAGGGCAGTACTCGATGTATAAAAGGACAAAGGGAAAAAGTTTAGAAACAACAAACTTTTGGAAAAGCTTTTCAGCTACAAATATTCAAACACAGATTGATTTGACACCATCAAATTCCCTACCAATATTTTGTCCTTTAGAGCTCTGATTAGATTGAGGTTGAGCCCTCAAACAAATAAAAACACAAGTCTTCAAATCAAGAAAAGTCTGCTAGAAAATATACCTCAAACTCATCATGGAAACAAGGGAACCAGCATAGGAGGGATTGGCATCAGGTTGCAAAACCTCTTAGCCCCATAAAACATATAATAATATGTAATATATACAAACACAAATGTGACAAGAAGCTACATCCAATGTCAATTACAAAGAAAAATGTAACTGCACTCACCACAAAAATGGCGACATGACAATGTATAGATACAAGTGGATCGTCATTTCACAGTTCACATAACAAACAGGTAGGGAGAGAGGAAGAGAGTAGTACCTTAGGCAACAAAAGAAACATTCCATGGCTTAAATCAAAGCAGAAAACAATGAAGAATGGAGTTGCCAACACAAAAGTAGGCAAAGAGAAGAGGGTGTTTCAAAGTGTTTAATTGGTAGTGTCAAGGGAGAAAGGTGAATAGAAAATATTCTTTTCATAGTAACAAAATCTTGGGTTATTTATCTTCTATTGTCTTATACTGTATTACACTTTTGTAAGACAAATGTTAACAACATAATCTTAATATCATGTTTTAGAAGGATAATTAAGATATTTAAAAAGTATTTCAATGTTTGATTAAAATATCAATAAATACAATTGTGATAAAAAAATAATTAATACTTTGACCTTATAATTTCCCTTCTAGCCTTCATACTTTTCTAAATATATCATTTTAATCTCCATAATAATTAATAATATATTCTCTAATCATTAACACATGTTAATAATTGGCATATTATATATATTATATTCAGGAAAAAAAAAACTAATTTACAAAAATGAATGAAATTTGTTACATTTAATGTGAAGTATAACATGGAACAACAAAGAGGACCCATTCATATTTAATAGGTATTGTTAGAGCTTTAAATTACTACCTTAGTTTTCTATCCTCCTTCTGACATCAAAACTTTAATTTCGTACCAAAACTATGTTCTCTCATTTCCTCTTCTGTCGTTTTACAAATGCCCAGAATCATTTTCTGTCTCTTGGTACAATAAAGTTCGTTTTCTGGAAATTGAATATGGCTTTTTTGGTTATTTGTAAATATCAATAACTTGTGATATTCTTTTAATTATCTCCAAGAATAGTTCACATAACATTCCTTCATCATGTTTGCATTAAATGTCTTTTATGATCACTGATACGTTTTTTAAGATGAAAACTTTGGTCAAGTCATTTGGCCTTTTTTTTTTCTTTTTGGGAAAAAGTTAATTTGACTTTATTATTAGTTAATGCCATTGAATATATTTTTTTAATTTTAATTTGAAATCTTAAATGTTGGTCCTTTAAAAACAAAAATACCTACTTCCATTTCTTTTTAGGTGTGTTTTAAGATTATGATACACAAACTAAGAAATGTAACTTTTTTTTCTTGTGGCTACAAAATAGTTTTAAAATTTCCTTTTACCTTAATGCTTGTTATTTTTTGCTTTTTGTTTTCATTTTTCTATAATAGTTTATATTAATATTTCCTGTTATATTATGTTGATTTTCATCTAGCTTTATTTTGTTTATTTACTGAATTACTGTGCTGTTTCCTCTTTAATTCTTATCCACAATTTTAGTCCTTCTATTATTTTTTTCCTGTGTTTTACAAAAATTGCAAATTCGATTCGATAATTGATTTTGATTATGCTTTATATTATCATTAATTAAATTATTTATTAAGATACCAATAATGAAGAAAAAAATATGATAAGTTTCTTTATATGTTAAAATTATATTATGTATTAGTTAATTTGTAGAAGATCTTTTTATACAATTTTTCATAATTTTATTTAATTTATACAAAGATAAATTTTAACTTACGAAAAAACTGATTTTTATTTTTTCTTTTTCTTTTTTAGAAATTGAGTATTGTGTTTGTTTTCATCAGTGAATTTAAGGGTGTGGATTTAAAAGAAAAAGTCAACGGAAAATCTGGGTGAGATGAGAAAAACATGTTACCTCCTATACATTTACATCTTGAGAATTAATTCTCAGATAAAGAATTAATACTTCCTTTCTCAATTCTCGTTCCACGTTTATTCAATTATTATTATTATTATTATTATTATTATTATTATTATTATTATTATTATTATTATTATTATTATTATTTATATATTTAATAATAAATATATAAATAATATTTATTATATTAATAATAATATTAATAATTATTTTAACAATCAAAATAATTATAATAATAATATCATATTAATAATTAAAATAAAATAATTAAAATATTTTTAATTATAATAATTTTATTTAAGAATAATTTAGTCATTTTTTAATTAAAACATTTTCTTATCATTTATCTCAATCAAATCAATTACAAACTTTCGTAAATTTTCCTCTCATTCCCCTATACATGTTATAATATTTTCCTTAATTTAAATAACTTCACTTTCACCATTTTTTCTACTCAAATATATCATTTTTCATTCCCTCAAATTCATTCTCTAATCAAGCAAGGTCTATTGAATTTAAAGATTTAATTAAATTTAATAAATAATATTGTAATACATAAAAATTTATTAATAATATTATTAAAAAAAATAATAAATAATAATTAAAATAAGATAAAAATATATTAAAATAATTACTATTTAAAATTAACGTGATTTATACAAGAGAAATAAAAAATATATTTAAAAAAATTGAAATTTTGATTTTTTAATTTTTTTACTAAAATCAAATGGATCCCATAACTAATTTTTTTCATTTTTATCAATTTTTTTAGTTTAATTAAAATTCAATTTTTTTAACTCTTTTTTTTTTTTTAAATAAACCGATTTCTAAACATTTTTTCGATTGAATTAACCAATCCAATATTTAAAAAAGTCAAATTAATAAGCAATCTGAAATATAAAATTTTGATCCTATTTCCGAACATTTCATTTTAGTATCAATGGTTAATACTCACTAAATAAGAATAAAAAATCATTAAAGAGAACATCGTTACAACGTTAACATGATATAATGGGTCTTTAAAAAAATGACAATATCACGTAATAAATATATCACAGCAACAATTATGCTTTCATTCACAAGTGGCACAACATCATGAACATATAATTAATTATTTATATTAATTTACATCTTTTTATTATATCATGACTTCTTACTTGTTATTGTTAATGAACATTGTATTTTGTTAAACCTTTAAACTCAAGTATTATTGTATTAATGAGTTTGACCACAGTTAAATCAATAAATTATGAACCAGTAACTTGATCAATTTAATAATTGGGCTGGGTCTATAAATATTGGAATCATTACAGAAATGTCAACCTTCTGTGCAGCGTTGCTAAAAGGTTTAAAATAATGTAAATACTGGTTTTCATAAGAATTATCAGTTTACCTCAAACTTCAGCTATTCATGAACTATCACAGTGATCTCAAGGGAACAGAATAAAATTGCTAGTATGGTCTGTCAAAATCTACAGAAGCTATGTTGTTCACATAACATCTTCCAAAGTCAGCACTCAATAGAAGTTATTTGGTTTTCCAATTTTAATGTTCAGCTCCGCAAGGAAATCTGTTATGGCATTCCTCTGCCAACCCTTGAAACTCCTGCAATAAAGAACTAGCTTAGAGTAAAAGATTAACTTGAGTAAAAGGATAAAGCATTAAGGTCTATTTGTGATGTCAAAGCCAGGATCACCTAGGCACAACTAAAATCATACTAAAATTCGTCACATACGCCCATAAGATCCCACCTCCTTCGTGTAAAACGATAAAAGCTAAACAGATGACAGACACAGGAAAAGTTGAAAGTACTCCTAAGAATATCACTTTCTAGCATTCATGGACAAAATATGTAATTTGGCTACAAGAAGAAGGTCCAATATGACGGCAACATGCCCTGCAAATATAGTGTTTTCTTCTTTCTTCTTTTTGCAGTTGACATGAACATATTATGAAAGTGTTAACTTAATTTTAAGCAAACCCAGTAACAGAAATATGTCAGCAAGTGTGGGGAATCTAAATGACAAAATTTGAAAAGTGAGCAAGGAGTGCAGACAACTCTTGATAAGTGAAAACTGTAACAAATGGGAAAAACTACTAAGGATTCAGGTTGGTTCTACAAGGAACTTGTTTTGTGACATTTTCCCTTAGTAGGGGAAGGAGCCCTTCATTAATCCCCCTAGAAGAAGAATGCCCAAAAGTCCGAGAACAAGGGGCTAGAATCAGGGATGATGGAAAAGGATTTATCACTTTTTTCCTACTTTTCTATCGTTTGGAAGATAGAAAGCTTTAAACAAACTGTGGTCTAGCAGACAGAATTTTCTGTGACAACATTGAATAAGTTTTTCAAACTATTTGGTGCCTTGTGGTCGTGGGAATGTTTTTTTTTTTGAAAACTGTTCTGCACTCAACCAATAAATAGCATTCAGTTCTTGCTTTGGCATTAGAAATATATATAGATTGCTGATTGCATGAGGACAAAGTTCATTAAGCTCACTTGTGGTCTAGATGTGCAAGAATTTCACCACCAGGAAAAGCAGACTTTGTGGCCTCATATGCAGCTTTTATAGACTCTCTCCATGTTCCACCAATCTCCACATTTGTTTCTCCTTTTGACTGGTTTGAGTCTTCCATTGGCAGTGAATATCCAGAAAGTAGGTGACCCACCCATACATTATCTTTCCTAGATTGGAAAAGCAGAGTAAGTATTCATATTTTATTTGAGCAAAACACACAGAAAATATGATGCATACAAAAAATCTATAAAATTAAAGCAGTTGGCAAGGTTTACAAAACTTTTTCATTATCATAAATTTTTATGTAATTATCTTCTCAAATGATTTAAAAGTTTATTCGAACTAAGTGATGATGCAATGTTAAACAACTTATAGTCAGTCAATATAATTTCATAATATATTTGAATGTACCATTTACAGCCTTTCATCATAGGGCCATTAAAATGGATAATGGAGGTTTATGGATAATGTAATGATCAACATGTTGATGAAGGTAAATTGATATACTTGCTTATCAATTTTAATAATATTATGACAAAAGTCTTCATCAGCATATTTAAGTAAACGAATGAGGCAAGTAAATTTAAATAATGGAAACCAATGGAAACCTTAAAATAGCAAAAACGACGTCCAAATCTTGGGAAAAAATTGCAGAGTAAACAAGGATAAGTGTTCAAGATTACCCAAAAGTTAATGACGCTGACAATAGCTGCATAGTTCAATTTCCTTGACATCAATCAGAAAACTAAATTATAAAGATGCTGACAATGACTGATTTGACTACTTACAATACTACATCCATATGTCGAGGCGCATAATGTCCACCACCTATCCCAAGAAGGATTTTCTTGTTATCATTCTCCCTGAAAGAGTGAGATTTAGATTCAGGTTACAAAAATTTCACCATTTGTAGATGGAAGATTTAGTAACCAAAAGGAAACAAACCTACTATTATGGTCCATAATTATGCAATAACACAAACAATTTAGAAGTTTCAGGAAGATATATAGTCCACCATGTAAGAAATTGTAAGATGAAAGGACCATAGATTAAACATATGTTGCATCTCAGGATACAGAGTGAGAGCGAGATGTGAAGAACTTGGGAGGTATATGCCAAATAAAATGAGTGTGCAAACTAATGTAACTGCATTTGTTTAACTTGGCTTAATCAATTTACCTGCTCCAGTTTCCTACATCTGTCCTACCTCCAAGTCCAAGTCCTTCCCAGACTAACTACAAGAACCCAAACAAAATATCATTTCAGTAAAGTAAATAAAATATTACCAAACCAGTTGCCATCTAAAGCATTTATTATGGTATAGATAGTTAGAGCGAAGTTTTTTATTCAGGAGTAGTTGTGCAAAGAATATAATGTCCATACAGGGAAAATTCCCGATATTGATGGAAAAAATGAAAAAAAGTATAAAAAAGCCACCCAACCTGTGCCATAACTTGAGCAGCATCCTGTCTCTTCCAGTAATCTTCAGTACTACCTATACCAAAACAGAAAACGAGTTGTTGTATCAAAGTTCAAATTTTATCGAACTGCTAGCAGCTTCTACTGTAACTTGAGAATGAAGTTTAGCAGCCATGAACTATGATAGGAATTGAGATGAAAACGTAGGCTAACTGACACAAAATCTGGAAAATAAGCACAAGTTCGGCACGTTTATTATAGGAAATACAAAAATAGGCAGGTTGAGCTGGCAAGAAAAGAAGACACTGAACATGTAGTGAGTTAGCTATAATGAATAAGGGGGAAGAAAGAGAGGATCATCATAGATATCAATTATATGTAGAGTGAGATCATCAAAGGTCTTCTAGGGTGAGGGGAGCCATTTGGTTAGGACTGATAAATATCCTCCTATTATATTGTCAGTTTTCTGTTATTTCCCTGTTGGGTGATATAATTTATAGCATTATTCAGTCATTTACAGTTCCAAACCAAGCAATTGGTCCAAACTGCCAGATGCCACCAAAGATGACTGGAGAGGTGGATGTTCTGGAAGCTGAAATGATCCTGAGAGAGCAGAAGAAGGTGATTTCCAGGAAGCTACCCAAATACTCATGGATCAGCTTAAATAGCAGAATACCACATTGCTGGAATTGAACAATGTGGTGGGGAAGAAAGGAGCTAGAGAACCAGAATTTCCTGGGAACTTGATCAGTGATTCCCATCTTAATGAATCTCAAATGTCAACCAAGAAGGTGGAGCGTCCATGTTTGAGGAGGAGAATCCATTTGCTTGGAACAATCAAGCAGAGATTTACCTTGACCTCTAAACCATCCTAGAGGACATCAAAGACAGAGAGGGAAATGCAAAGATACCCTTAATATTCCAGTGAAGAACTAAACTAAAATAACATCACTGATTTGGACACTCGACTTTATCTCTCTTTATTTAACATACAATATTCAGTTTCCCATTTTAAACATATACAAGATGAAACCTTATTTGCAAGTAACTAATACTTCCAAAAGGGAGAAAATGGATATGAATGGAAAAGGAAAGTGATCATCTGAAAAACTACGTTAGAGGATGCAAAGACAAAACCTATTTTCCCAGTACTTGTAAAATATGAGGAAGGAAAAGATACTCACCAATCTCCAAAAACATGGTTGGCTTATTGGTCAACGGTCCATGGTGGGTAGCCTCCAAAGTAATCTAAATTGAGGAAACTGATTAATTCTGCCGGAATTTCTTGTAAAATTTCAACATTAAATCATCATTGTTCAACAGGAAACAAGCTACGTATTTACAGGAATGCTGAATCTAAACCCGGAGTACTGAACATATAACAAGAGAAACAAAAGCCAATCAAAGAACACGTCACACAAGAAACAACATCAAAAGACAAGTAAAGAGAAGTAGTGTAAATACCAATCGGCTAGACAAACAAACAAACAAACAAAAAGACACCTCGAATTCAGGGACAAGATTATGAGCCTTAGCAATATTTTTCAAAAGGCGAAGCCAAGGCCCCATCCTAGGATTTGGCAGCGCTGCCCATCCAGGTCTGCCACCTTGGGGTGGAACATCACCTTCACGCAAATGAGGAACTCCTGCATACATGCACACACAAACCACCTAACAAATCATTACAAGACACACTATACCACAAACAATAAAAAAAGGCAGCGACAAAGTGAACAAATTACCAATGGGGTGAACAGTGAGGGCAGGCTTGTTGGACACAGCAGTGTGTTTGCTGAAGAAGATGACCTCATCAACAACCTCCCCAGTCACATCTTCCCACCTCCTGTCCAAATCATCCTCCGCCACTATGCTCTTTCCATGCAGCAACACCCTCACCCCTTCATTCACAAAGCTCTTCATATCATCCTAGTTTTCCCACCACAACCAAAAGTAACAATTAAAACAGCAAAAGGGGCATGACGGGTACCCAGAAAAGGTCGATGCTTTGAACCTGGAAATGGGGACCGGGTTGCCACCCGGGCATGGCCAACAGCGCATTGGCCGGGTTGATGGAAGCAGGGTCGGACGAGGTTGCTACTAGGAGCGCCACCATTACTTTGCTGCAGAGATGTCTGCGTTTGTGTTGTGAAAGTGAAAGTGGGTTTGGGGGAAATGGTGATGAAGATGATGATGTATTTATATGAGAACGAATAGGAATTGGCTTTGAAGATCTGAGCCCACGGTTTACATGCGAGAGAAGGGAAGGGTGGAAGAGCTTGCCCGCTCCTAACATTACTTCTCATAAGAAAGAAACTATAAATTTAATATCTTTGGCTTAAATGCGTATTTTACCACGCTTTTTACCTAAAGTTTCAATTTTTAAAATTTATTAGTTATTTTTTAACTTTAACCTATTTTGTTATGGTGTAATAAGAGTAGAGACAGACATATATTTCATGTTGGACTAAATTTATTTTAATCAATGTAACTTTTCCTTCAAACAATGATGTTGCAAACAAATCTGTGTCTTCACACTTAATCCATAACAATAAAGAAAAAAACAATCCAATTTTTTTAAGCATAGCTTTCTCACAAAAACAATTATTATTAAATTATTCAAAAATGGCAATTAAATTCTTCTAATGTTATAGTCAACGGTCGTACAACAAATTATTATTATTATTATTATTATTATATCATTTTAAAAATAAAAAATTATATTATATTTAAAAAAGCTGAATTTAATTAAAAATAAAATACCAAATATATAATTTTTTTTTGAGTAATTGCAGGGAATGCCCGTTTAGGTGTCTTGGAAAGGACAGAACAGATGTTGCATTCCTTCTCGTTACTTCACAAGTTTTCTCTGTTCATGGCATCCAAACCTCAACGCCTCCATCAAAGTAACTCTCTCTCTCTCTCTCTCTCTCTCTCTCTCTCTCTCTCTCTCTCTCTCTCTTATTGGAACATCTTCCATTGCCATCGATCAATTCTCTTAAACAACATTCACTTGTTTTCGCTTTCACAGTTGCAGGGACCAACTTTCAGAGCTCGGCGAAGAGGGTAAGAACCATGGCCACATCCACAGCCATTGAACCCGCTATGAAGGACGCTTTTACCAGATATGCTGAATATCTCAATGACCTTGTAATGCTTCTTATCTACTGTCACACTCCATTCAAATTGTCTATTCTTCAATTCAAATTCCCAGGCTTTTTTAAATTCATTGCAATTGTGTAGAAGTAAGTTGAAAGGGGTTTTCCTTTGAAGCCTAAAGATTTAGTCTTCCACCCCCCTTTATTAGCTTTACCCTATGGGTTGGTTTCACATTCTTGTTTATACAAGGATACCTCTTTCATTCTGCAGTGGTGTATTGAGGCCAGTACATCTATTAACCTTTGTCGATAGGTTTGGACGGAGGAGTTATGGAGACTAATTTATTTATTATGAATTTATATAATAAAAAAATGTTTAAAACACATGAATAAGAGATGCTTGGAGTTCAATGATAATCTCTCGTTGATTTCCTTTCATTTTGAAGAATTCTTAGCGAGGAGAACATTTACTTCAAATTTTCTCTTCAAACTCTTTGGACCCAAACATACTCGCTGCCTATGACTGAGAGAAGGGAAAGGATTGATGGGATGTTAAATGTTGATCATTGTATTTGGCAGGCGAATATTGAATTGCTATTCATTGTTCGTAGGAAAGTGGCTAAGGAATCAACAAGTAGAATATCTTTTGTTGGAAATAGTAGAAATTTGCATTTGCATTGAGTGTTACACTTTCCAATAAAATATTTCTTTTTGTGTTTTCGTGTCAAGGAAATTATCAGCAAAGTTGATATTGAAATTTAATATGTTTTGATTCTTTATATTTGTTCTTCTCTTGGCTTGGGGCTTTATGTTGGAGAGTTTCCTCTCAAAGTTTATTTTGTAAGGGTAGTGTTTCACTATTCATCTCGGATATTAGTAATTAATGTTTTGGAGCACACTACACATTGCCCCTTTATACAATGATCTTGTCTCACTGATAATGTGTTGAAACTTACTTTACAATAACTTAATTTGAAGGTTTAAATATATATGTATATTGAGTAACTAAGAATATCCTTTAAAGTCAGTACCTTTAGAGTATTGCTGTTAACATATTTTTGTACTATTAATTTGAATATTTTCAAACGTATATTTATAGAATGACAAACGGGAAAGAGTGGTCAAAGCAAGTCGAGATGTAACAATGAATAGCAAAAAAGTTATATTTCAAGTGCACAGGTTACTCTTTCTCCACTCCCCCCCTCCTCTTTATATATATGCTCATGAGGGTGTTACCTGCATAAGCTGAATTACATAAACATTACAATATATCTTTTGCATGCTCTTTTCTGCAATTAAAATGTCCTATGTCCTTTATATGTTCTTTAATTTGTCATCTGAATGAACTTAATTTATACTTCATAGTTGTTGTAGTGTGATGAGTTTGTTTTCTATTAGCAGTAAGAATTATCTTAATTGCATTACTTTTGCAGTCTCACATTCATTATTTATAGCTTAATCCCCCTTCTATTTTCAAATGCAAATAGAATGAGTAAATGGGAGTTATTAAGACCTTTTCATCTTGTTGAATTCTTTTTCCACAGTAAAAGATAAAATAAAAGAAATAGGAGTTTGAATTCTACTGCAGATGGTTAATGATTTATTGTTATAAACTTACATTTAATATTCATCTTCATGGTCTTACTGACACTACCATATTATATTCTCCTAACAAGGATGAGTAAATCCAATAAAGTGGAAGTACTTGAGAAAGCTGAAAAGGACTTAGCAGCTGTGACAGATCAGTATGTGTCACGACTAGTCAAAGAATTGCAGGGAACTGATTTTTGGAAGCTAAGGCGAGCATACTCACCAGGGGTATACTTCACACATATTACTTGTTAAGATCAAATACTTTTCTCTGATACATGTCTTGGGTTGCACTATGCAGATACAGGAGTATGTTGAAGCAGCAACATTCTGTTGTTTTTGCAAAAATGGAACTCTTTTGAAGCTTGATGAGATAAACAAAACATTGCTACCACTTAGTGATCCATCTCTTCATCCTCTGCAGATAAATGTCCTTGACTATCTATTAGGGGTAAAAAAGAATTCCTTAACATATATCATTTTCCATGTTGTGAAGAAGACCCAATTTAACAGATTTTTAGAAGTGCTTGATTTGTTGTGATGATTTCTGCAGTTTCATTAGCCATATTTTTATTAATTTTCATATGGAGAAAAAGCTTGCATAGAACTTAACTTTTACGTTGAGAATACTATTTAACCCCTCTAAACTTTACTTACCCTTTTGCAAATAGATACTTCTATTTGATTTCAAGTTGATCCTTAAACTAGTGTTGTAAAACTAAGTTCAAACCAACTAGTCCAATCAGTAAAACCAGGTACTGGACCTGTGTCTTGTCCTGTCTTCAGATCGGAGATGTTATTGACCCATGCTTACCTCATTAACTTAGCTTTAAACTAGTCCAAACCGGCTCGTCCAGTTAAGCTTTGAATTGGTCCTTGAATGTTGTCTGCCGGCCTTGCATTCTGTCCATCATGCTGGTGCACATTCTGACCAACTGCTTCCTGCTGCTGCCCACGGTGTCCACTGTCTGCTGCTCACGGAAAGCAGGTCTGATTGAAATTGAAGCTTGCACATGCAAAGGGAATATTATTGAGTGGAATAAGGCAAAAATTGGGCAGCATTGCACTAGGTTGGATTTGAACCAAGTGCTTCCTGGTGCTGCCCACAGTGAGAATTTATTATACATAAATTATATTTATTTAATAGAAGTATTCTGATTATATTTGGGAGGCTAGCTAGCAACTTGACATCCACACCAATCAAACTATTGTGATTATACAAAGTTTATTATATAAGAATCTTTAGTATAAAGTTTGACTTATTTAAAAAATGTTGGTTCATGCGGTTCAATTAGTGACCTACTGGTTTGACCATCCACTATAATTGGTTGGTTCTTATTACACTGCGTTAAACTGTGCATATTTAATTGAAATCCTAATATTAAGTTTTAAATTTTAAATCACCTTTTCCTTATTTTTTTACTTTTCTAAAATGAAAAAAAAGAAGAAGAAAAGGATAAAATATGTGCACCCATGCAGACGTAAGCCACCCTCTTTTGCTATCAAGTGGTGCATCATCTGTGTAAAGTAATTCTTGTTATGCACCATCATATTGACTTCATTCTTCCACCATCTTCTTTGTGCTCTGTCTGGGAGAGAATAAGCTCAACAAAGTTGTCACAGACCTGGCAATTAAACTTCCTCCATTGGTCTGCCCTTCTCCATCAAAACTGCCTTTGTTCATACTTCTTGTATGTGTAGTGGGTTCGAAAAACTGTCATATGCATAGACATGTGTAGAAGGGCATCAGAGGGTCTAATGGGACACTTATGAGTAACCAGGGTGAGAGGAGAAATGACGAGATTGAGATGGGGGGAACTGCAGTGGTTTGATGGCATTGTCAATGTGGCTAAGGTGGGTGGTGTGAGATGTGACCCTCTTTTTATTTTCTTGAACTGGGACATGCTTTGATGATGATGCTCAGCAACAATTAAGGGACAACGCTACATGTCAGGGTCAGCCGGTTGCACCACCAGAAATGGCACAACTTGTGCAGGTGGTGTTGGCTCACTAACTTCTAGGGTGCGGTGTTGTTTTTGAAACTCCATGAAATTTTCACACGAATGCTGCTGGCTTTGCCAACACTGTTGGAGTCAGTTGGCAGTGATTTTGGTTCCCTTTCTGATTGTTACTGTGAAGAAGACCTAATGTTCTGGTAATTTCGATTCTTTTGATTGAATCTGGAACCACATTTTTTTTTTTTAAATATGGAAAAGTTGATTTAAATTTATAAAAGTTAAGGGTTGAGATCTAAGCAAAACAACAATTGAGATTAACATTGACAATGGAAGTCCAAGGTATTAATTGGGGCAATATAGAACTCCCAGGTATCTCTTTGTGTGAAAGTTATGTTTAAGGGAGTTGAATGATATCCTTTCAGTGATTTTTTCTCCGTCTTCCTCTAAAAGGTGCTCAATATTCGTTTTCAGCTTGCAGATTTGACAGGAGAACTGATGCGATTAGCAATCGGTAGGATATCAGATGGTGAACTTGAATTTGCTGAGAAGATATGCAGATTTGTGCGTGATATATACAGGGAGCTTACTCTTGTAGTGCCACATATGGATGACAGTTCTGATATGAAAACAAAGATGGATGTAATGCTCCAAAGTGTCATCAAAATAGAGAATGGTAATGCATTGGTTTTCAAAATACTGTTTTGCTAGATTGAAAGTTCTATCTGTTAAGTTTGATGCCTCAATACCTTATTACTCCAAGCACAAATAGAATAATCTAGTGATTGATTGAAAAAAGATTACATCTCGTCTTAATTTAAAGAAATTAGTTTTCCATTCACTCATGGGAGTCTTTTCTTAAGTTCATGGTTTTGAATCCTTCATATTTGAACTTCATTTCTTTCTTAGGCTAAAGTCATTCCCACTCTTAAATATTGATTTTTGCCGCAGCTATTAGCTATTAGTGTTTGTCTGATAACACCATTATATATATAATCTTGAAAAAACTATGGTATGTGGTGAGTTTCATCAGTTTTAGGTCAGCTGGTGCATGAATATTGTTATAGTAATTCCTACCAAAATATACTCATTTGATGTGCTGACACACTATATTTACCCAAACAGCAAATCGTTGCTACAGGAATATAAAATGTTGATTATAATGTATTTTCATTCGTATTGAAAACCCAATATCAGATAGCTTTTTCTCCCCTTCCCACCCAAATGAAGTGTGAGAGAAATATTATGATCTTCCATATAAAACTTTTGCTGAAACTCATTAACATATGTTCTTTATGTAGCTTGCTTTAGTGTTCATGTGAGAGGGTCAGAGTATATTCCACTTCTTGGATCCAACGATCCAAGTTCTTTCTTGGTGGGAGTTCCAGATATTGAATTATGAGGTATTGTATTCATTTCCAACTCTTACTTTATTCTGGGGTCTTTTGCGCTGTGTTCCTTCCTAACGAGAGGAGGTTTCCGTGTCTTACACCAGTTATTCATTGGACGCTTTGTGAGATCTGTCAATGAAAGAATAGTCTGCTAGAAGGTTTGGAGGTTGATATCACTGCATGGACCAGTCTCAACAATATTTTGTGTTTGCCCATGATCATCGAAGAGGAAGTTTAAGCCAATTCTTGGCAAAAATGACAATATACGCGTCTCATTTTATTTGAAAAGGTTGATCATTATCACATAATGTTGTTGTACTTGTTCTGAATCTTCTAAGACTAAAGATAACTGATATGAATTATGCTATCATTTGAGCATTTCAATTTTATCTTCAGTTTGTCATCATATTTTGTGTTGCTGTTTTGTTGACATCTAAAAAAGTTTTAACTAGATAAACCATGAATTAGTATCTCAGCCCACAGAATGCCACTAAAGCAGGATGGTTAAAAACTTGTGTGCCAGAAAATTAATGAATTCTGGTGGGCTTCGGGTTTGACTGAATCATACTGTGTATGAACAGATGTTTACTTCTATGTAAATCTAAATTGTATGGAAATTTTGTAACTTCATTATTGTTTGTTGATGTTGTTATGAGTAAAAATGGATTTTGTTTGTTGAGTTAGGGTAAGTTTTATGAGATTTATAAGTTTTTAATCATGCCCCTCATTAGTTGAAATTCTACTTATCTAAATCATATGTTATTCAGTAAATTAAATCTTTAAATTGTTTAACAAAAAGTTATTCTCAAAACACTAAAAAAAAACTTGACACATTATTATTAGTATTATTTTAAAGAGAAAACATGGTAGGTTTTAAAAGGCTTTTTATATGGCATAAATATGTTTTAAAAGAATAATGGTTTAAAGCTATTTTTTTCTTTAATCAAGTTCTGAAAAATGACTTAACTTTGGGGCAAAAAATTCTGTTAAAATGGTAAACATGATAATTTTAAAATGAATTTAAAAAAAATTATGTTGAGAAAATAACAGTTTAATGTTTTTTTTTTCATAATATATATAAGGTTTTAGAAGTCGTAACTTTCTAAAAACAAAATCTTTAGCATAATTTTCAAATAATTCAGGCTTGGCTTAAACTTAAATGTAAGTTATGTATCCATTTTTGGATATGAAATTTTGTAGGTTTTAATGAATTTAAAATGTATGAGAATTTCATTATTATTTTGTAAGAATTGTATTTGGAAAAATAAAATAAAATTTATTGTTCTTCAAATTTTGTTTGGAAAAGGCAACTTAATATCCACCATATACAAATAAAATTTGATTAGTTTGAAATTTCTTCACATTTTAGAATTATTTCGTTTTACTTGACAAAAAAATCCCCAATAAATTTTCCATAATTTAAAAACTAGTTTGATTTCATATTGAAACAAAACAAGTTATATTAATGTATGATATTTTTAATTTATTGAAAAATAATTTATTTTCAAAATTTCTCAGCAAGTATATATTTTGTTTAGGATGTAAAAATAAATTTAGTTTCATAATTAAATTTAAAATCAGACTTTGATCGGTTTATTTAAATAATGACCTACATATACTTAAATTAAATTAGTCCGTAAATTTATGATCAGTCTATTTTATAAAATAATCATTATTTTATAAATAAAAATAAAACTAAAATTATTTATTAAAAAAATATATATATATATATATATATATATTATAAATTAATTTGACAAAAAAATTACTTAAAAATAAATATCAAAATAAATATTTAAGAATCACTTATTTTTTTAAGACATAATAATTAAAATTAATTATTATTTTAGATTAATAAATTATTAAAAATAAGTAATGATAATAAAAATAAAATTTTTAATATTTAGTTTGAAATCAAATAAATATATTCTCTTATCATTTATATATTAAATTATTATATCTTAAATAAAAATTAATTTTATTAATATAATTTAAATTTTAAAATATATTATTATATATTTTATTTAAAAATATTTAATTAATTAATTTAATATAAATATATTAATAATTTTTTTTTAATTTCAATCAGATAAATATTAATCTCATAGTTCATCAACTTAATATAAGATATTAAAATTTTTTTACTTTAAAACTTATAAAACCATATTATACTGAACTGAAATGTGCCCACCGGTTTTTACATGTATAATTGTTATATGCTTTAAAAGTGTTATTTCGATGAATGACATGAGAGTACGATCCATGATAAAGGTGTTATCAAAATCCACCTTTATTATCCATTTTCGTACATACTTCTTTATAAAATTATTTTTAGGTTTTGTTTTTTTAATATCATCCATCAGTGGATACCTCTAAAATAATAATAATAAAAGCATAAATTTGTAGTTTTTGTTTTATTTTTTTGAAATGTGCAAAGAATGTATTCTTGATTTCTTTATTTAATACATTTTCAAGTGACTAAGCATGCAAAAACCAATTTATCATTATCTCCAAAAGTGGTACAATTCAATCCTGAAAGAACGACAATTGATTTCAATAGAATGCTATGCATAATTTGAAATATATTTGTGTTCTCAATGATAACAAATGGTAAAAATGGCATAACGAAACAATGGAATGTAGAATCAGTCTAAAACCTCAATCCATGATGGGCCAGTTTCTCTTCAGTGATGGCATTGAGTTCCTGAATCATGTCAACCGTGAGATGATTCTTCCAATCTCCGATTTCGCCACGACGGAAGAAAGCTCGGTGTGCTTCACCAGACGAAAGTTTCCCATCCCTATTCACCTCCAAGTTGCTCAAGTTATCGAAACTACACAGCTTCAGAATCTCTTCCACCACACCACCTTCCTCTTCTTCTCTGGAAAAAGGGCACCCCACAAAGGTGGCTAGTTCCCTCAACACAAACTCAGGCTTCAGTTTCATTTCCTCAAACCTCATAAACATGATCTTCTCGGGCTGTTCCAAGCTCTTCCGCCAGTAGTCCAACACATGCACCCAAAAGGGTCCATACAGACTCACCCCTCTGCAGAACTTTTGGAATGCTTCATGGAGTGAGTTGGCACCTGCGGTTTGGGGTCTGAGCCTGTTGGTGAAGTGCCAGAGGGAGATGAAGGCGTCTTTGGGGTCTCTACAAAGATAAACAACCTTGCAAGATGTTTGTGTGACAGACTTTGGCAGTGAGACATAGGGGAGATGGGTGGAGAAAAGCCTTGGAGAGGGCAGTGAGGAGAGGTCAGGAGGAGAGGGTTTGTCAATGTAGAGATCAAGTTCCAAGAAGGGAACTAGAAAATGGGGATTGTGAGTGAGCAAAGGGTGGTTTTGGGTACTTGGATGATACTTGTGGCGGTGAAGCAAGGAAAAAGTCCAAGCTTTGAGCCAAGTGGTGCCTGATTTGGGAGTGCTTACAACGAGGATATCAGTGTCATGAGCCTGAAAGTGGCTTTGGCAAGAGAGAACCCCTTGAAGCTGCCTAGTGGTGTGCCAAAACCCTTGGTACTGGTGGAGATGGCTTGCAACCCAACCTTTTTCCTTTGGCAATGTAGGTATCAACTCCTTGCACTCTTGGCTCACTTCATTGTTCTCTTCCAAGTATTTGGGCACAACAATACATCCAGCTTCTGGCATGGTTCTGTGGAAGGAGAAAGGTATCAGATCTCGAAGAATCTCCTAACCCTTTTTCCTTGCCAGACACGCTAGAATGCAAGTATCGCACGTACAACACAGTTTCTTCTTCAAAGAAAAAGAAACAGACATGTTTTTATTGCAATTCTTGTACGACAGACAAGTTTTTTTTTGGTCGACCACAACTGCATAAAGCTACGACTTTACATTTGAAATCTTATTTTAATATATTTTCATCATTTTTTTTTATAATTTGGGCATGAAATAATCGAGGAGGAGAGAGTTGAATGGCTAGGTGTAGAGTGTCTGACTGTGTTGCGGCATGGACAATGAAGTTCTGAATGCATGCATGTGATGTGAAATAATTTTATGTTCATGATGGGTCCATTAATTAAATGCAGTACCTCTTGTCAATTTCTCAATCACATATTGGAAAATGACCATACATGCCATCAACTTCCATTTCCACGCATTCTTTATTCATGCAATGCCATCATGCATACATAAGAAGAAACTTACCATATATTCTTCTCCACCAAAGAGGAAGCTTTGAAATTTTTGCACTAAAACATATAAAAGATCATTCATCATTTTAGAATATCTTTTGTACTGTCACACCACCTCTGATTTTTTTTCCTTGCTTGGACCACTTCTTCAAACATTCTAATCAGGAATCAGAATGAATGTAATTATTTTAATGTAATCAGGAATCAGGATTCAAAGTAGACAAAGTATGGACTAGATTTTGATGTGACACCTTCCATTAAGAAGAGAAAGAGACTGATGAAGTGTAATTATTTCTTCTACTTGTACATAACTGACTTGTGTGAAATTTAAATGTTAGAATCATATGGAAAAAAAAGGAAAAGTTAAAAGCAATATAACTTTTTAAAAAAAATCTTTTTGAAAAAGGAACTACACTCTTTAATGATAGTACCTTTGACCTTTGGATGCATATGATATTGATCATGGTCAATGTATTGATTTTAGCACTGCAAGTGTGACACTATAATTTTCTTTTGAAGGAGTTTGGTCCAATTAGCATCTTATAATAATTTACCTCTGTTTGAAACAATTTGTAGGAATTAAATTATTTTAATATTTTAAATAAAATCAGAATAATAATAATAATAATAATAATAATAATAATAATAATTCTTAGAATAAAATTGTTTGAAACACTCTTTATATTTATAGTATTTTATTTTCCTTTTAAGGTTACTATTTATATGTTCTATAATTTTAAAAAATAATATATATATATATATATATATATATATATATAATGATTAAAGATAATTAGTTTGTTACTAAAATAATTTAGTCATGTTATTGGAATAAAACGAATAAACGAATATGTAAATAATGATTATGTTAATAATTAGAGAATTAAGAATAGTTTAATTGGATCTTGATTAGCAAAAAAAATGTTGGGATGCTGTTAGAAGAATAGTTGTTGCAACTACGTAAGTGTGGTTATAGTTAATAAATGTGGGTGCTGCGAATAGAAATAACGAGCATATTTTTGTTTGGGCCTAAACAGCTTAATGCTACAAATAGTAACAGCAATGAAGTATTGGACTTAAAAAGTTGGGATAATTTAACAATCCAATCTAACTAAAAAAGAGGGTTGTTTTTTATTTTTTTTAATTGGGTCAAATTTAACCTAATTTACTCCGGGTCGATCTTATGCAAAGGTTAGTTCTTATAGGAGGGTCAAATTTAACCTATTTTTCCATAGGTTATATCTTGCAAAGGTTCAGGGTATTTTTGAGCTAATTTTTCTCGTACTTTTGTGATGAATATTGGGGGTAGTCCAGCAATAAATCTTTTTTTCCAAAAGGTTTCTTTGCAATATGTTCTGGTCATTACCATAATTATAAAATTATCTACATACCATTTAAAATCTCCTAGAATAGGACATCTTAGATTATGTAACAGGGTACTAGTTTTTTCTTCAAAGGTGTTAGAGTCGCCCATAAAATTATGAATAATTGATATTATTAAGGTTTCTACCATCAGGGGTATTTGATTATTTCCTTCTTGTTTTACTGTTGTTAAAATAAATCGTCTTTGATCTGCGGTTAGATAATTTTCCCACCATCCTTTTAAGGATCTAGTAAATCCTAGGATTAGTAATTGTATTGTTTGTTCTTCTGAGTTTTTTGCCCTATAGGCTGAGACAGTCATAGCCATTTCATTAGTTTTTCTTAGTAACTGATAATCGGTTAGTCCATCTATATTCAATTCAGTTATTCATGTTCCATTAAAAGCGGATGGACTTTCTAAATTCCATTCTTCGAATTGTATGTCTGGTAAGGTTGGTCGTCTATAATAATTTTTAGTGGTTGGCATATTATGGGTAGTTGGATTTGCATTAAATTTACTTCCTATTTTATTTAGGTTTTCTTCATAATCTATATTTTCTAGGTCTCCTAGTTGTTCTAATTTTATATTTATTTCCTCTAATATTCTATCTGATTGATTTCCTATTTTAAATTCTTTGTATTCTTTATCGGATAGTCTTATAGGATTTATTAATGATTTTTGTAAGTCAGTTATTCCTAATGGATTTTTATTATTTGGTGAACTTTCTTCAATAGTTTTTTGAGCTATTTGATGTAATATTTGATTTGTAAAATTTAATTGACTATGTAAATTTTGAATATCGTTTATATTAGGGGTATCATTGCTATTTCTTTTTTCTCCTATCATTTTAAAGGGTGATACAATTACTTCTTTATTTTCAATGTTAGGAAACCTTACTTCTTCTAAAGGAGGGATTTTACTGATTACTTCTTTGTTTTTGTTTTCCATATTTTTTTAGCATTTTGTAATGCATTAATTTGTAGATTTTCTAAACAGTTTTCTTCAAACCATCTAAAATATGGTATATTTTCTTGAATTAAATTTAAATGCTCATAATATTTTCACGGTATTCTTTTAATTCGTCTTGAGTAAAAGTTTCGAAGAACCATTCTCTTTATTCTTTATTATTTTTATTTAAAAATTCTTGTCTCAATAGGTCTTTATTTATTTCGAATTTGGTTATTACGTTTATTATACTATCGTCTTGCTGTATTTCAGAAGCAGAGGGAGAATTATGGGTTTCTATATTTTCATATTCGTATTCTGGCATTGGTATCGTGGGGTCGTCTTTTATGCCTTTTAATTTTAGACTTCTATGATGTATTAAACTAGATTGATCTATGGATCTTCTAGCTGTTACAAAAGTATTTTTACTTGGATGTTCCTCTTTGTGAATTTATTCTTCGGATTGGGGCAAAGGATACTTCTACTGTTCTCGATTTGTATTCGTTATATTTTCAACTTCTACCGGTTCTAGGGGTTCGGTTCTAATAGGTCTTCTAGTCTTCAACTAAGTCCACTAGATATTTCAATGTATTTTAAAGTTTTTGGTATTACGGCATTAACCTTTTACTGGATTTACTAATAACATAGTTGTTTCATCTTTTGGAGACATTAATAAAACTCTAGGTGCTAATTGGGTTTTCATTATTTTATAATAAATTACTGTATATTATTGTTTTGGGATTCCATACATGTTCGGGAATTTTAATATCTAATAATATATTATTTTCTCGTATTATGAAGACTTTTAAGAGCTATAGAATAATTTGGGTAATTATTTATGTATACTTGGTCCATTATGCAGATTGGTTTCAAACATTGCTAATATTTGGTTTTCTTTTACCGATCTATTATCTCTTAAAGCAACGAACATAGGTGTATCTATACCTTTTCTAAATAGATGTTTTATTGCTATCTGTATTAATCTTATGTGAATATATCTGTATTCTTTTATATGTTCTGCTATTAAGTGTTTGGTTATTAATGATATTTTTTCATGATTTGATAAAAGTTCTATTTATTTATCTACTGTTTTTACTATATATTTGGATTTAAACATATCTTTCCAATTGGTTTTATAGATATTTGATATTTCAAGTTTTGGAAGGGTCCATTTATTGAGTTGATTTTCTATTTCTGGAATTATTAATTCATGATTTACTATGTTCATTTTACTGGTTTCTTCTTCTGTATTTCTATTTTCTTCTAACTTTTCTTTTCCTTTAGATAAAAGTTTTATTATTTTTGTCCTTCTAAGACCAAGATCTAAGATGCTCGGGAACACCACAGGGTTTATTGCCAATTACTAGACTTATAATCTAAACCGGCTTACCAACGCTCATCTACCCTCAAAGACTCTTAGACAAGGTTCGATTAATAGAAAAAAATTCTAATGAAAAAGTTAAGTTTTCAGAAAATAAAAATTCAGAGAGAATAATAAGTTATATGAACAAAATATGAACAAAGTACGTGACTTTGTTAATTCACAATAAATTATCAGGATTTGAACCTGACATAGGTGATCTGGATTGGCCTATTACACATCAAGCAACCCAATCGGGAAGACTTAAATACCCAGTTTTTAAGCCGATATACTTTTATATTGAGACAAGAATTTTTAAATAAAAATAATAAAGAAAAAAGAGAATGGTTCTTCGAAACTTTTACTCAAGACGAATTAAAAGAATACCGTGAAAAATATTATGAGCATTTAAATTTAATTCAAGAAAATATACCATATTTTAGGTGGTTTGAAGAAAACTGTTTAGAAAATCTACAAATTAATGTATTACAAAATGCTAAAAAAATATGGAAAACAAAAAACAAAGAAGTAATCAGTAAACTCCCTCCTTTAGAAGAAGTAAGATTTCCTAACATTGAAAATAAAGAAGTAATTGTATCACCCTTCAAAATGATAGGAGAAAAAAGAAATAGCAATGATACCCCTAATATAAACGATATTCAAAATTTACATAGTCAATTAAATTTTACAAATCAAATATTACATCAAATAGCTCAAAAAACTATTGAAGAAAGTTCACCAAATAATAAAAATCCATTAGGAATAACTGACTTACAAAAATCATTAATAAATCCTATAAGACTATCCGATAAAGAATACAAAGAATTTA